CCTTTCTGGCCCGACAACATCGAAGCCTGGTTCTGCTACGCAGAAGCCGACTTCCACGAGCACGGCGTGATCGACACACGTGCACAATTCCTCGCAGTAGTCAAGGCACTACCGCGCGAATTCAACAGGTACGTGACACCTAGTATGTTTACTAGTGATGTTTCCGAACCTTACGAAATCTTAAAACGCTCGATTCTCAAACGAGGAGACCTAACCGATCGACAAAGGTTAGATCAACTCTTCAATAACATCGACCTGCAACACGGTTCTGCGACAGACATGTGGCAACGGATGAGAGAGATTATAGACCCAAGAACTTTCGACGAAGGCCTATTCAAACAACTCTTCTTGTCAAAACTTCCCCAACAGGTGCAAGCAGTTCTGGTCTCGTTCCAGAACAACGCCCTAGACGAGCTAGCTGCATCTGCCGACCGCATTCTAGAAATTACGAAACCTACTACCGAGGTATTTTCAGTCAAAGAAAAGCCTTACACGACTCAGAATGATATAACCGACTTATGTCACACACACGCGTTATCTTAGTCTTCGTACCAACCGTAAGAGATCGCGCACACCACGTAGAAGCATTTCTCGTAAGCGATCTGTCTCTAGACCACGAGAGACAAATAACCCCGACTGTTGCTGGTATCATAACCAGTATGGAAAACTCACCAGAAATTGCAGAAAACCCTGCAATTTTCCCAACACGAAACCGACTGATTCGGGAAACTTCCAAGCCGGCACGCGTTAACGGCAACTGTAGCCGGCGAACAAAGCCGTTTGTTATTCGTCACAGATGTGACAACGAGAGTTCGCTACCTCGTCGACACTGGCGCAGAAGTTAGCGTTCTCCCAGCAAATCCTAACGACCGACTAAACGAATCGACCCTAAACTTACAGGCGGCAAACGGAAAACCGATCGCTACGTATGGCAAAAGGTACGTTTACCTTAACGTGGGTTTACGCAAACCCATACACTGGATTTTCGTTGTTGCAGATGTTTCTATGCCAATCATTGGCATGGACCTTCTACAACACCACAATCTGATCATCGACACTCGCAAACGGAGGGTAGTAGATGGAAACACTAATTTATCCGTTTGCGTAACTTCTTTTACTGGTTGCAGAGTATCCCCAGTCACAGTTGAACATATGATAGACCCACTCTATCAACAACTACTCGACAAGTATCCTGAGATACAACAAACTCAACCGAGATTACCGTGTGTAACCAGCAACGTTACATATCACATCACGACTACAGGACCACCTGTATTCTCTAAAGCACGACGACTAGCTTCCGAAAAGCTAAGGTTAGCGAAAAACGAATTCGACCATATGATAGACTTAGGAATCATACGACCGTCAAGTAGCCCATATGCATCTCCGTTGCACATGGTCCCTAAAAAGGACAGCGACGATTGGCGTCCAAGGGGTGACTATCGGCCCTCGAATGCGAAAACCATTCCCGATCGTTACCCGTTGCCTCACATTCACGATTTGACAGCTACCTTGAAAGGTACAACTGTCTTTTCGAAAATCGACTTGGTTAAAGCGTATAACCAAATCCCTATGGCTACTGACGACATACCGAAAACAGCTATCATAACTCCCTTCGGACTCTACGAATTTTTGCGAATGCCTTTCGGTCTAAGGAACGCTGCTCAAACATTCCAAAGATTCATAGACGACGTTTTTCGAGGTCTCAACTTCGTACACCCGTATGTTGACGACTGTCTAATCGCAAGTCTGGACAGAGAAACACATCTCAAGCATCTGGATCTTGTTTTCGAACGACTACAAAAACATGGCATTACTGTAAACGTTCAGAAATGCCGAATTGGAACCGACTCATTAGACTTTCTGGGACATACTATCGATGCTCAAGGTATCCGACCCCATAGAACCAAAGTGGCGGCCATTCTGGATTACCCAGAACCGACCACCGTCAATCAATTACGCACGTTTAACGGCCTCGTAAGTTTCTATAGACGTTTCATACCGAAATGCGCATTACTTATGAAACCTCTGACCGACCAACTTCGTGGATATGCGAAATCCATTAATTTGGACGACACCGCACGAAAAGCATTCTTCACAGTTAAGGAACTGATCGCTAAAGCGACAATGCTCGCACATCAGGACACCGAAGCACGCATCGGACTCGGCAATCGGTGGCGTCTTACTACAATGGGTTAACAACTCACGGTTGTTAGACACTGAGTCGAGGTACAGCACATTCGGTAGGGAGCCCCTTGCTATGTATTGTGCTGTACGGCATTTCCAACACTATATCGAAGGCCATGAATTCACTCTTTTCACGGACCATTAACCGCTCACTTTCTCGTTAAGCTCTCCTTCTGACAAGTATTCTCCCCGTGAGTCTTGACAACTGGACTACATTTCGCAGTTTACTTCGGATATTCAACACATCTCTGGAGCAAACGATGTAGTTGCAGATGCCTTATCTCGCATAACTTCCTTGAACAGTTTCCAAGGAATCAAACTTCTTAAACTCGCCGAGCTTCAAAAAGAAGACAGTGATCTTCAGCACGAGTTGTCGTCCACAACCCTTAAACTACGCATCAAACAGATGGGAACACGCAACGAAACCTTACTTTGTGACACATCTACAGGTAGGGATCGCCCACTCGTGCCGAAACATTATCGACGCAATGTCTTCAACACATTGCACAAACTTTCTCATCCAGGTGTTCGTGCAACCATCAAGTTTATAGCAGAACGGTTTTGCTGGCCTGGAATGAACAAAGACGTGAGGGAGTGAGCACGCTCCTGTGTAAGCTGCCAAAAATCTAAGGTTATCAGACACAATAAATCCCCCTTAGTCTCGTTTAAAACTCCCGATGCTCGTTTCGACTATGTTCATCTGGATTTGGTAGGACCTTTACCAGATTCAAATGGATACTCTTACCTCTTAACCTGCGTAGACCGTTTCACTCGATGGCCAGAAGCAGTACCTATCAAGGACATCACTGCTGAAACAGTGGCTCGCGCCTTCGTCGAACGATGGGTAGCAAAGTTCGGCTGCCCTTCAACCATCATTACAGACCGCGGACGTCAGTTTGAATCTGATCTTTTCCGTCGTCTGACCACACTTTTAGGAATCACTCGCTTCCGAACGACCGCCTACCATCCACAAGCAAACGGGTTGGTAGAACGTTTTCACCGACAACTAAAAGCTTCACTTTCACAGTGGACCGACGCTCGAGACTCGCATCGACGACCATTCGAATCAGCATACGAAGGACCCTTCAAAGTTCTTCAACGTGAATCTAAGTACTATATAGTCGACAAGAAGGGAACAAACGATAGCATCAGCATCGATCGCCTCAAAGCAGCGTATTTAGAAGGAAATCCTATTCACGTCGATTTTCCTTTGGTACAATCGCACACTGATAATTCCTCAACCGACAACCAACATTAGCGATGATACTCCGAATGTATCTGAAAATATACCTAAAACGACGCGTTCTGGAAGAAGAGTAAGATTTCCAGAACATTTAAACGACTACTGCACGTAAGGCACTACTCGACATTTTGTATTATCCCGATCTTTCTTTTTAACGATATATAATTTTTTTTATTAAAAAAAGACAATTTTATTATGCCTATATATTTATATTTTTATTTAAAAAAAAACATTTTTTTAACGCTATTACGTGTGCTTGAGTATATTTTCCATTTTTTCGCCGACATTGTGTTTTTACGCACATAGGAGTGTACTTTCGACATGCACTTACATTTTCTTTTTTCTTTTCCAGGACGACTGGAAAAGAACGATGCAGTTTACGAGGAGTCGAAATTTTCGTTGTAACTCTTTCTTTTTTTACTATGTTGTACCTCGGTCCCATATAGTAAGGAAAGACGACCAGACGCTGATACACTTAGTAAGCTATCAGAAAAGTGTTTACCAACGACAAACTCGTTGGGTTTAAACTTCTGGCTGGCCACGTCTTAGGGTCGTCACTGCCCCACTAGGGGGGGGAGTGATCTGTAGCGGTAAATAAATCCCCAAAATAAATAGCACTAAGTTTTCGACATTGGATGGTGACCATATGTTTTAGTGGACTCATCTAGCTGAAGGCGCTCGGTCAGGCATCCGCACCAGATCACGTGTGGTAACGCCGTGCTCAACATCAACCGCAATCGCTAGCCAGATTAGATCAGAGAATTCCGATATATTGGTCATCGCCAAATATACTCTTCCGATCTCCTCGACTCTGTCTTCTGATTTCTCTGGGTGGGAACGAAATACATTAGAAGGTGTTACTGGTAGAAGCGTTGTCAAACACTGAATACCTGTGACATCATCAACCGAAAATCCGTAAAGCTCTACTATCTCGCTTAATAATATCTCTAATTTCCCTATTACTGTTTTTAGTTTCGTCTTCTAACATTGTCTTCATCCTCAGTAAGTTATAGAGATGCGACAGGTATTCGGAGTTTGACAACGCTTAAACGCGTTATAACATTATGATCAAAACATATCAACTCAGTCAAACCAGAAGTCAGAGGTGAAGGGGTATAAAAATATATTTGGAAGGCTATCGATAGGTCAGAAAGCGTTTGGTTTAAGCTGGACAACAGTTACAGGAGATGCATATCACAGCTTATTCACTCGTTCTCTGATGTGTATGCGTTACCAGGCGCTTTTATCTAGATGTGTCCAGTAAAACTAGTCAGGTCATCATTAATGTCAAAGACTTACAGAACAATTTATTTAGGCAATTTTTATCGCTATAGTTAACTTATCCATTTATTCGCGAGACAATTATCTTTTGATGCTTTCATTGCCACATTATTTTCAAATTGCAACCAACCAGCTTCCTACCTGGTAATGTAATAGCTGCTGGTATCAAGAATCCATACTGCCCTGAGACCAACGGACTCACCCAACTATATGATATGCAAATCTACAAATAACTAACAAACTGAATGAAATTACTGTGGCCTAGTGGGTAGATAACAACTCCCTAAACAAAACCGAACCCGTGGAACTGTACTGGTACAACAGTATATACAATCTCGAGACAAAGATATTGGACATCGGTTCCATTATTTCTGGCCAATCAAATCGCAGCCCTGAAACAAGACAACGTTTGTAGAATTTTAAAGCCATCAGTTTGTTGTCGTGACTGAAATAACAAACCCATTTGAAAGCACTCACTTCTATTTCTTTTTTATTTGAATATGTTTCGCCTTGAAATTGTCTACAAGTTATTTCACTTTATGCGTTTGCCAAAGGAAGAAGTAAGTGCTTATGGATTAACAATTCTGCTTACATCCTCTAGTTTATTATCTCCAGAAATATATCCTATTTGTGTTCATATTTATATTATCCTGTTTTTAAGTGCTCATGTTTTATGCAAGTGTTTATAATTTAATTCGTTTTCCTCCTGATCGCTTGAAAACTACCACCTGGTTACAAACTTCATAGTGGTTAACAGGAGCTTCAACCATTTGTTTTCCTGTTTGGCCCACTCTTTTACCTTCTGTGAGGAGAACTAACACAGACTTATCTTGTAATAACTTTACATTACTTTTGTAAATGTTTTATTTTTGTCCACTACAATTATCTGGTAAATCTGACGTGATACGAACAAGCAGCCTTCCGATCCGGAGTCAGATACAGAGCCACTATAGTGGAGTTGACTCAGTCGCCTTCTCCATCCCTCTTCGCTTCGCTTTTCCCACTTTGTTTCTCTAATTTCCTGTCCAGATAAACGGCATATGAAATAAACGTGTTCAGAACCCATTCTCGTATATGGTTTATTTAATTCAATCATTCACTAACACGATTTAAGTCGATAATTATTTACGAGGTTACTTGGCATGTATATTTCGATCACAATCGGCCTATGATCTAACTGGAGCCAGATACAGGGCCACTATGGCAAATTGACTGATAATTATAGTTACATTTAGAAAGGAAATGAATCGATTTCATACTCATCTAATTCGTTGTACTAAGATAACTAAAAGCCTGTCGAGTAGCTTTTTCCTGATCCTCCTTTTCTTGTGTGTAGCAAATGAGTCCAACTTGATTTTCGGGCTTCTTGAGTTCATGTTAACTTTCACTGCTTCCAGACGTATTGCGTCACTAAGTATCAAACTAATACATTTCTATTCCCCATTTCACAACTTGGTGTCTAAATAGGTAAAAGATGAACTGTCTACTAGCACGTTGAGAAAGCTTCATAAATAATGTCATAAAAATTATGCTTTATTGTAAAATCATGCTGGCATTTCTATTGTTTGCTTCCTGTTTTTACTTATCATGGTATATGATTGACTTATGTTCACATACTATCCGTACGACATAACATTGATTTATTTCTTGTTCATCTCTATATAGATACATGGATACTACACAGGTAACTATATAATTCCAAGTGCGATTTCAGATATAAACCCGTCACATATGTATCTTGTGGTATTTAGGATTTGTAGTTCAGTCTTTATCGTATAGCTCATCACCGTAGCAACTTGGTACTTTTTATTTTAAGCTTCAAAAACCTTACCAAACAAAAGATTATTTATAGATTGTAACCTAGTTCAGAGACCTGTAACACTTATTAATAAACCAGACTATCTTTTCAAATTGTGATAAACTCAACTTAAAGTTCTCCTCAGGGATGTTTTACGTGAACTAAACGTTGGTGAGCTAGATTAGCTTTCAGAACAATAAAAAAATGCCTGTGATTACTGTATATTGTTGTCTATCTATTTACTAGAGTTTAATCAATGTAATAAATATAGAAAATCGTACTTCTGGCGAATTTTAGTAACCTACCATATAAACACAAATTTCAGTACACTTACCACAGACTCAAAATATAATTATAATGTATAAGCCTGTCTATAGAGATTCAAAAGTTAAGTTCATTCTCGTCGAAACCTAAGCACAATCACTAGTACAATTGTTTACCGATAAATATTTAATAGGTTAACAACAATACACTATTACGAACTGTAAATGTATAGGTGCATTTTTGTCAGTCATTTTCTAGTGGAACTAATCTTTTTTGCTTTGCTTTGATTAAAAAACTACAGATAGACGTATTTTCTAAACCAACATTATTCACTCGAGTCTTCGCTCTTTCTATAAGAAATATGAGTTCTACAAATCAACAACCAAAGCATAAAATTCTTATCGTAGGTGGAGGCACAGGTGGTTGTTCAATAGCCAATCGTTTATGTAAACATTTCGAAAAGAATGAAGTTGCTGTCATTGAGCCGTCTGCAGTAAGTAATTTTTAAATCTTATTGCAAATCCTTTATGGCAAATTACACTTTTTTCTACCATGTTGATATTTTTATCTTAGTAATTTCATCTGGTTGTCTTGTTATAATACGATAACGTAGGCTGATAGACTTCCATGTTGGATCTTACGTTTATTTTAACTGTCTTGTTTTAATCATTACAAAATTATTGTATGATTTGGGTTTTCTTCTTTTAACAACTTCCCGAGCTAAGAATATTCTTCAACTATGCTTATTCTTATTCGTTCACACTTCCGTATAAGTAACACCGAAACTGAGCATAACAATTTCATAAGTATTATCATTTTCAAACAGTATTTTTGACGACTTAAACACACTCTATAATTGTAGTTTCAGTAACCTTCATGCTAAACATTATCTGACACTCAAGTTGAGTAAAAAGGATAGGAGGTCAGTTTGTACCACTCACGAAAATTAGAAAAATATGATCCCAAACTAATGGTGTGCTTAGGCTCCACGATTCTAAGCAGATGATTGACATAAGAACTTATTTTTGGTTACCAGTTACAATGATACAACGTCTGACGTGGATTCACTGGTTCAAGAATTACACCAAGTCAGAAGGCTTTCGAAGTGGTCTCCCCGGAAAAGTACCTAGTTCACCTTGGGAGACTATACACTATCTCAACCCACAAATTCTCTTTTGTATGGCACGTGATATTTTTGGTGTCTAGTTGTACCTGATTTTGCATGAATTTGATAAAAAGTAACGCCACAGGATAAAGGTTTTGTTGTTGACTTATTAGCTTTCAGTCTATCACAAATACCTGGACAAATTCCTAAAAGCCTTGGAATTTTCGACTCACTACTTTTCCAGACATGAGCCAAAATGAAATTCAATTACACTCATTGTTGTAATTGAGGTTTTGCTTTTTTTTTGATGAGCGATAAAACATACTTTTTGGAGGATTAATACGTGTTCCTATTTCAACGTCAGCCTTTACTATTCCATATTCTTGTTCTTCGTGATATCGCTATATTATTATTTTTTCTATTAATATGATTATTCAGACTCATTATTACCAACCTTTATGGACACTTGTTGGTGCTGGTATTAAACCGTTAAAAGAATCAGCTCAACCTCTAGAAAAAGTTTTAACATCAAAAGCCATATTGTATAAGGATAAGATTACACATATTGAACCAAAAGAATCCTATGTTGTACTATCAAATGGAGATAAAGTGAGTACTTTCATGAAACTAATTTTTATGTGAAAAAAAGTTATACAAAATGCATATTGTTTCCTTCACTGTTTTGTTTTTTACTTAATATAATGTAGCACATACATGCAATTAATAAAGAAAATTTTGAATACCTACTTGTAGTTTCCTAAGAAAAGCTAATTTTATTGCAAAATGTATCTTTTTCTATTTGAATTTTATTTTTATTTTTGTAGCTACAAGTAAAGTGACTATACTCATGAATATTAGTAATAAACTTATCTACTTTTTAAAAAAATATGATATGTAAAATGAAATTTCTATTTTAATAAAGTCAGTCAGTCAGTAACAACATAGAACTTCGTAAGTACGTACATCAGTTTGCGTTGCTATACCACATTAGCACAGAAATGCAGTTGTTGATTCAAATCCCGTAGTGGTAGAGGTAGTAAAAGTATAAGCAGTAACCAAAAAGATTAGGGCTTGAAGACTTTACTCAAGGAGTATAGTCCAGAGAAATAAAGATGGAAAGAGAAAAAACTAGGGCACAAAAAATTCAGAAGATAAGGATTTGAGAGAACACAAAGAGTGGACGTACCTGCGCCATTGCAAACGATTTTCAGCCATGTCATTCAAGGTCTCTAACCATCGGTTGCTATCAACTCACGGATCCCAATCAAGTAGTCTACACCTACCAACATAGTTCAATTCACTTGTCAGTAACTTCATGAATTTCTGCCATGTTTTGGTCTGACCGGCCCTAGCTTTCTTCCAACTTACTCCTACACCATGAAACATCGCTCGTCGGGGCAGTCGGTAGTTAGTCACGTGCAATACGTCTCCCAGTCATCTCAACTGATGAAGTTTCACTACTTCATCAATTGATCTGCCACCCTTACCTAGTACCCGTTTCCTAACAACTGCATTACTTACTCGGTGGAATTTTATACTTTGATATATACAGTTTTTAACAAAAGTGAAAGTTTGTAGCTCAGGTGGATGTTTTGACAGAGTTTTGTTCTTTGAACTGGATGGTTTGGTCGTGGAGCTTTCATCGTTCTTCTGAATGATATCATCAGCACAAAATTCCACCTAAAGCTCCCTGACCAAATCATTCAGCTCAGAAAACAAAAATGTCACCCCAGTTTTTAACATTTTGCGAAATTTACTTTCATTTTTTAACCAACAAATAAATATATAGGTTAATAATATTAAGGCTGATAAGATTTTCAATGAGCTGTCTGAATTCCTGTGTTAATAACAACATATTTTCTTTACTGTCCTTGGCAGTAATTAAGATTTCGTTTAGATGTTGACCTTTTCTGTACGATATCTTTTTGTTTGATCACTCTGTGGTCTGGATTTATGTGATATGTATTAAGTCCTTTATTATCTCGCTTCTATAAGATTAGTTGATTTCTTATGGTCTGATTTTAGTTATGATCTTCATCTATCACATATACCAACTTCATAACTATTTTAAATCATATCTTACGCTCTGTATGTATTGTATTTTTGCATAGTTTTCGATCTAGTTCTTCTGTTCTTAAAACTTTAACTAAAATTTAACCAACTTTGTTGCTAATCAGCATGTAAATTATTAGTATTATGTTAGTATTGTTGAACTTTCATAGTTAGATGGCTTAATTGCGGATCTTTCATTAGTGATCCGAACAAGTTCAACGACTACGTAATTTAGAAGTTTCTCGATTATCCTACGAGCTCTTGATCAGCCCATTTTGGTATCGTTGCTTGTATTTGATTATGTTTGTAGGTTTTGTCATTTTCGCTTTTTTTGATATTCAATCTGACTGTTTTGTTCTGTTGTCCTCTCATCATGTGCTGGATGAACCTTTTTCATATGGGTTAACAAATATAATTTATTGATGACCAATGGGTATAAATGCTACGTTTCTAGAAATTATTTGCCATTCTGAAAATCCCATCAGTGTGGAATTTAGACGTTATCCCACTCGAATTTGTATCCATGGTTGTTTACACATACATTAATATTAATGATAACGTAGTGCGTCGTTTCACTGGTATTTTATGTTCGTGTATGCGTTCATTTTGTCCAATGTAGTGTTTGCTACAGCTTTTATGATTTATTGTGTTGATGATGTGAAACGTGTCGTTCTTTTTTTGTTGTGTCTTTGGGTTCGCATAGAATAAACTTTAGTCACTGCATTGGTTTATTAGTAACATTGACTGCAGGATGTTTAAAAATCCTCGTGATGTTTTATCATATATAATATTGTTGGGTTTCACAACTGATTGATCACTGAGTGAGGTTATAACAAATGTCATGTGTATCAAGTTCTTCTTAGTGCAGATCGAATGCTGTCGACCAAGTTGCAATGTGGCCTTAGTCTAGGTGACTCGACATTGCGTGCACTATGTTGAGATAGAATGGTGGGTTTCACATATCGACTGAATATTTGGCGGGTACTGTGATCCAGTGGTTTATAACTTTCTGTCATTTAAAACACAAACTAGATTCGAAATTATGTATGAACATCAGTACTGAAACCACAAATTATATCCATTCAACTCTTTTAGATTGTAACATCTGATTGGTTTATAATACATTTTCTTTGTTCATGCTTAACGTTTACTTCCAAGTCGTTTAACATGAATTTCGAAATAGTTTTCTACTGGGCACACACATTTTTAAGCACTATTCAAGGAAATTTCCTTGAAAAAGCTTAGACCAGATTGCAAGGCTATACGTTGGATTTACTTCGAATTCATTTGCTGAGATTTTACAAATACACTATTCTTTAATGACTATTTTAGGAGCTTGGCTCTTATGATCTATTTTCTGAATATTTTAACCTTTTTCTAACAAATGAATTCCAATGGTCAAATAAGAGACTGATCATAAGGTTGATATCAAGTCAGCAGTTGTAGTGTTGTACAAAAGCCTTCAAGGGCGTATCCTAAGATTTATTGAAGCCTTGGCTATACGGAAACTGAAACCCCCTTTATGTGTTCATAAACAATTCGTTCTTACCCTTAACCTAGCCTAGTAATATTGGTTTATTATCCAAAGTGGCTATCAGATTGTTTTTGTATATTTTTCAATTGTTGAGATCATGAGTCAATTGAAGATAGACCAACATAGAAAACCTGGAAGCACTGGACGGCCGTTTCGTCCTATTGTGGGTCTCGCGCGCCAGCATTTAACCACTGGACCTCTGAGCCGGCATCCAACGGTGTTATTGTTTAACTTCAACTAATCCACGAAATTGAGTGACACACCCACCATTGTCATCAATGAGTTACTATCTCACAACTGACTCTGTTGAACTCCACTGGTCACGGCTTCTCACTAGAACTCCAGGATATACATCTTGAAGCCATTTATTAGTGAGCATATGTTGATTAATATCAGAAGGGGTTTTTGTAGAAATTTTAGTTATTTCAATTGCTGAGATCATGAGTCACTAGTGACTGGCTTCAAGATGTATGTCCTGGAGTTCTAGTGAGAAGCAGTGACCAGTGGAGTTCAACCGGGTCAGTTGTGAGATAGTAACTCACTGATGATAATGATGTATGTGTCGCTCAATTTCGTGAATTAGTTGAAGTTAGACATTAACACCGTTGGATGCCGGCTCAGTGGTCTAGTGATTAAGTGCTGGCGCGCGAGACTGATATGTCCTGGGTTCGGATCCCGCGGGGTGGGATCGTGGATGCGCACTGCCGAGAAGTCCCACAATAGGACGAAACGGCCGTCCAGTACTTCTAGGTTTACTATGGTGGTCTATCTTTAATTAACTCATGATCTCAACAATTGAAATTACTAAAATCTTCACAAAACCTCCTTCTGATATTTTATCTTTCTTTGTTATGGCTTACCTTTAACCTATCTAGTTGACCTTTTAGTTTTTATATAAAAGTGTTCTTAACAAGTATATATGTGATCAGATTGTTCGAAATTTATTGCGCAATTAAATCACATATTTCTGATAACCTTTGTCTTCTCATTGCATTAAACTTTTTCTACTATATTCTTTCAAAGTTTATCAGCATCGTGATATTCTGGGCTGCACAATATACTACTTTATTCAGTGAGACTAATTTATGAACGACCTTTGAGCGGCGTCAAAGTGACCTTGAGAGTGTCCACCTAATAACTAGGACCAAATGAGAGTTATAAACCAGTATGGGGAATCATAATTATGATTTACAGTTGATATTTAAAGTTAGAAATTAGATTTAGGGTTTTCATCACGAAATGACATCAACTATAATGCCAAAACTCTATATAGCCAAATGGTTGAGTGACATTTCGCGCCAAAATCTAGGACCTGTCACTTTATACCTGATTGGTTCATCCATAAATTATAGTCTCTGCATAAAACAATAATCTTCATAAATTTCCTTTCTTATGATATTTTCTTTCAGATATCATATGAATATTTAATCTTGGCACTTGGAATAACTTTACGTTATGATAAGGTAAATATTTGTAACGTATATGTCCATTTTTCATAGACAAATTTTGAAATCATTATCTCATGCTTATATTGTAGCTAAGCTTCTTGTAACATTTAGGTATTAGAATCGCTGAGCTTGTTCTTTGATTTTTCACATCTGCATAAATTGTGTCATTCTGATTTCCGGCTTTTCCTCTGAACACTGTGTCAGTTTGTGGTCAACCGATCTTTCAGTCGCAACGTAGAATTTGGTTCGTATGTATATAATTAATATAACTTGGAGGTAGTATCCTACTTGAATAGATCAAAATGTATATCCTTAACTGAGATTGAGAAACAAATATCAGACGTTAAAAATCACAAAAAGTATAAACACTCACTTCAGAAACATTTCCTTGACCACCATTAATAATATCACAGATATTCTTTTCTAATGTTGCCACCTGACCAGCTATAAATAATGCATCATAAAAGAATGAATTTACTCAATTTATGTGTAATGCATGACGGGAAATCTGTGATTAATATGATAATAGTTGTCTTTCAGTAGGGTAAAACTGATTGAATACCAAATCGAATATAACATTAGTGAACAACATTGTCTGTGCTTAGACTGTCATCAGGTTTTACGCCAATCGTACAATAAAATTTATACACATATATATGAATAAAGGATATTCGTATTTGAATAAAGATGTCTTCAAACAGTCAGTCGGTAGCAAAATTTAACCTGATATGTATGTACATCAATGAAAGTTGTCATACGACATTCGCTCAGAAAGATGAAATTATTAAGGCGAATTACACAGTGGTGATAGAAGTAGTAACAGTATCAGTGGAAATGGAAAAAACTGAGCATCGAAGATACGATTAGAGAAAATACAAATTTGTGACTTCAAAAGAATTATGAGGAATTCAGAAGCTCAGAATTAAGGAGGATACAAAAAATGGATGCAAATGCGCCACTCCAAATGATTTTGAGCTATATTATTTACAGTCTCTAACCATTGGTTACGATAATCACGCGGTTCAACTTTGTCATTGACGTACTTTTAGAGATAGCACTTTCCTCATCTAAATTTACAGGGGTTGAACTTCTACCGGGAGGTTCACTTGTTGACTTAGAATATGCTGATGACATAGTTTTATTTGGTGAAGACGCTGACAAAATGCAGAGTCTTCTGACCACTCTAAGCAACAATGCAAGCTTGTTCGGCATGCGATTCTCTCCCTCGAAATGCAAAATGTTGCTTCAGGATTGGGTTACATCGACACCCGAACTAGTGATAGGGAGTGAAGTAGTTGAGTGTGTCGACCGCTTCACTTATCTTGGAAGTCTCATCAGCCCTTGTGGTTTAGTGTGTGACGAAATCTCAGCACGGATACAGAAGGCTCGACTAGCTTTTACCAACTTGCGTCATTTATGGCGTAGGCGAGATATCCGTCTATCAACCAAAGGACGTGTTTACTGCGCAGCAGTTCGTTCCGTCCTACTTTATGGCAGTGAAACATGGCCGGTAAGAGTAGAGGATATTCGTAGGTTACTAGTATTCGATCATAGGTGTCTTCGAAACATTGCTCGTATATCATGGGACCATCGAGTAAGTAACACAGATGTTAGGAAACGGGTACTAGGTAAGGATGGCAAATCAATTGATGAAGTAGTGAAACTTCATCGGTTGAGATAGCTGGGACACGTGTTACGTATGCCCAACGACCGACTGCCTCGACGTGCTATGTTCAGTGGTATAGGAGTAGGTTGGAAGAAAGCTAGGGGCGGCCAGACCAAAACATGGCACAAGTCCATGAAGTCACTGACAAGTGAACTGAGTCATGTTGGTAGGTGCAGGCTACCTGGTTGGGGACCGCGAGATGATAGCAACCGATGGATAGAGACCCTGAATGACATGGCTGAAAATCGTTTGCAATGGCGCAGGTGCATCCACTCTTTATGTTCTCCCAAATTCTAATCTTCTGAATTCTTCATGAATTGACAACTGCATCTCTGTGCTAATGTGGTGTGGCAACTCGAACTGACGTACGTACGTACGAAGTTCTACGTTGTTACTGACTGACTGACTGACTGACGGTCCCCTGACCAGATAGTTTACATCTATTAACATGACCACATTTCGTTCGACCGTCCCTAAATTTCTTCCAGCCTAATCCTACACCACATAACACCACAGGTTGAGATAAGTGGAGGTTCGGGATACTTAACATATATCAGAACTAACTCAGTTGATAATCATTCACTACCTCATTAATTAATTCACTATCCAACCTAATACTTATGTATAGCCTCGACATGGATCATTAGACAGTCTCAAAAGATAACAGTGATGCTTCGAAAACACTTATGATCGACTGCTAGCAGCCTAAGAATGTCATTTATTCTTAATGGCTGTTTCACTAATGCTGTTGCTTCTGTTCAGTCAGTAACAACGTAGAACTTCGTACGTTACTTCTGTTACTACTCTGGGACTTTACTTGACAGTTCTATCTCAATGTACTGATACTTAATGGTGGGGAAGATTTGTAGTTCATGTGGATGATTTTGATGGAAGAACACCTACTCCGAAAGGGATTAAACTACAGTACAAGCGACGCCTCAAAACTTAAATTCTTTGCATCACTAGATTCATCACTCAAAACTTCCGGAATCAGTGAAGAAACACAACAAGAAATAAGGCAAACTGTAGTACCGCTAACTCAACAGGTGAAGGAAAACAACCAACTGACCCCACAATAGCAAAACGCTTTGAAGGAACTCAGAACCAGAAAGGATATTATCATAGTTCCAGCTGACAAAGGACGCACCACAGTAACTATGGACAAAGAAGAATACGTCGAAAAAACCGAAGAACTACTTGAACGTAAGAGTGCATACAAACTGATGGATATAAATCCCGTCAAAAAAATTAGACAACCGAATCTCAAAGACTTTAAACAAGCTAGTCAATGCAGGAGAAATAACAAAACAAGGCCGATGGAGAGTGAAATCCAATGGACCAGTACTCCCTCGATTCTACGGCAGACCCAAAATACACAAACCAAACATTCCACTACGTCTAATTATAGCACTCTCCGAAACACCAACATACAATTTGTTAAAAGAAATTTCAAGAATACTGAATCATTTAGTCGATTCATCCAACCACTCCATCAAATCCCCCACACAATTCCTGAACCAAAATAAGGACATTCAAACCAACAACGACGAATTGATGATATCCTTTGATGTAACAGCGTTATTCACCTCAATTGAACCAAGGTTAGCAAGAGAAACCATATCCCTGCTCCTCACTAACGACACAAATCTAAGTACACGAAGCTTCGAATTCAAAGTCTACTAGAACTCATCGATTTATGCCTAACAACACTTTCAGTTCAACAACAAAATCTACGAACAAACGAAAGGGACACCAATGGGATCAACAATATCAGGACTGATCGCAGAAACAGTGATACAAAGACTAGAAGCCGCGATATTACCAGTGATCAAACCAAAAATTTGGATTCGCTACGTAGACGACACCTTCGTCATCGTCAAAAAGGATGAACTGGAAAACACATACAAACTGATGAACAACGTTTTCAATGACATCAAGTTCACAATGGAACAGGAGTCAAACAACCAACTAGCATTCTTGGATATATTGATCACTAGAACTGATACAGGAAAACCGGAAACTCAAGTATATAGGAAACCGACTCATACAGATCAAATTCTCAACTACAACAGCAACAACCCAAGTGCTCACAAAATCAACTGCGTACACACATTGTTCAAGAGGGCGAGGACACACTGCAGCACATTGGCAGCACGAAAAAGTGAAGAGAAATACCTGAAGGACATATTTCAAAGGAACGGCTACCCAATCAACTTCATCAAAAAGCACCAACGGCACACAGCATCAGAACCCAAGTCAAGCACAGAAATCAACAAAAGGATCCCCTACCATACATAAAAGGCATATCAGAAACCTCAACGAGACTGCTAAAAACCTTCGGGATAGGTGTGGTACACAAACCAACAAAATCACTACAATCAATCTTATGCAAACCAAAGGATGAAATAACAAAGGAAAACAAATCAAACATCATCTACAAAATAAATTGTGTCAACTGCGAAAAACCGGACGCCCCCTTCACCTTCGCCTATATGAACATCAATTAGCAGTCAAACACCATGATATTTCCTCACTTATATCAATACATGTGGACAACTGCGGACACTCATTCGATTGGGAAAATGCGGAAATCTCGGACAGAGGAAATTCCGAAAACACCAGAGCACCAGCACTCAAGTCAATCAGCAATCAATAAGCACATTGAAATCGATCCAATTTATCAACCAATCAGAAAAATCATGCACAAATATAGGAACAAAAATCAAACCGATGGGAGACACAACCAAAACAACGAAGTAAACAATGACAAATTTAAGGTCAATAAGAACCAATCAACATCGAGGTGTACAGAACAAGCTGTGAAGCGCATATGGAGAAATTCGAACATTTCACTTCTATCTGAAGTTTGTGTTAATGATGTCGTTCAGAAGAACGATGAAAGCTCTAGCTCAGAGAACAAAACTTCATCAAAAGCAGATACTTAGTTACAAAGTAAATCAATAGAAACGTGTTTCAGGTTGTACGTTGCGTATGACTGACTGCGTGTTGTGTTTAACGGGAATTACAGTCAGTAAATTTATGGGTATAGATAGAATGACTTTAACAATCATCAAACAACCTACTCATTAATTTCGCACTAATTTTCCTGCCTCTATATATATTTGATTAATTGTTTTTCCATTTTCTTCTCTAAGGTTATTGGAGCTGAAGAAGCATTGAAAAATGATCCGCGTGTTTGTTCAAACTATTCTACAGATTATGTAGAAAAAACTTATAAAGCTTATCAAAATTTCAATGGTGGTAATGCTGTGTTCACATTACCAGCTGGACCAATTAAATGCGCTGGTGCACCACAAAAGGTTATGTACCTATTTGAAGATTACATGAAAAGGGTAAGAGAATATTCTTGTTTTGATTAAATTGGTATAGTTACTTTCATAATTAACCTTTGTCAGTTGTGTAGTGAAACATTAAAAATATCAGGTAATTTATAGCAAATATTTTATCATAGTTTTATGATTCTTTGGACAATGGGCAGAGTTTTTTGAGGAACAAACCAATTTCTATGCTGCCTCAATAACATCTATCAGACTTCTCTGTCCTCCATGACCATTCGCAATTGATCCACCTAACGAGGTGGAATTCCGGAAGGAACCCTAACTTTTAAAGCTAAATGAGTCACCAGGCCTCGATGACTTACCTCCTGCCCTTTTTAAAGATGGTAATGGATTTCTGATCAGGGAATTGTTTAACCTGTTTGCACAAGTTTTTAAATTATAGTGTGGTGTGTGCTACTTATATTGACATAAGTAGTAGATGATGTTAGTCGTGAACAGAATGTCTGCTAGCAGAGAGACAAGAGGATCGAACAGTAGAACATGGAAACCAATACAATTTGTATGAAAATGCAACAACAATGAAGTTTGAGTCATTATGAGACAGTTGATGGACATTTTGCAAATTAAGTATTTACTATTTGATTGTTGGATTTTATTAACAAGTCCTGTAATTTTGTGTCGAATACATTCGATTGTCCTCACTCGTGTTATGTTCACTACAATAGTATCGTCACGTTCTAAAATGAGGTGATAGTTATCCTTATCTTGAAAAACGGTTCACGTCATCTATGAAGCAGCTTTCAAGGGATAAGCCTACTTTCTCACCTTCCCTCCTTTATCTCTTCACAATCTCTTTTTTTATTATGTAACGCATACTTATTTTAGTTCTTCTTTGTACTAATGTTTAAATGTTTAAATAATGATGATAATTAGGATCTTTTTGATGGTAATGCGGATCTCTGACTCCACAAGTCAGAATCTTATCACATGATATACTTCAATTATGTTTTATTTTGTACGGTTATTTTTTGTATTATATACAGTGAACAGTCATTTTAAAACTACAGAACAGTAGAAAATATGTTCTGAGTATCCAGACTAACATTACAATATTGGTAGTATAAGAGATAATTACTTTGTAATTTATGCTTTCTTAATTATTGAACTAAATTTGCTTCATATCAAAGTTAGCGATACTAACTGACTACTGAAAATCTTAAGTAACTGAAGTTTGATTCAAACTTATTTATCTATAATCAAAAGGTAACTTCTTGAACGTTTAAATAAAATCTCACTAAACATATTGATAACTCTATTCTGTTGTAGTACTGTATAATATGACAGCCAAGGGTGATTGAAAATAAACTTTTTCTACTAAATTGTAGATAACTTCGAAATAACTTTCAGAATCTGAAATACTGTTTTTATCCAAAAATTTTAAACAGTCTAAAGAGATTCATTATTATGTTCTGGATGTATTCAATAACTAGAGGAATAATAGACTTTAAAATGCTAAGTTACTTATTTACTTACGCTTGTTACTCCCAATGGAGTATAGGCCACCGACCAGCATTCTCCAACCTACTCTGTACTGGGCTTTCCTTTATAGTTCTATCCAATTGTTGTTCATTCTTCTCATGTCTGTCTCCATTTATTGGCATAACGTGCTATTTGGTCTTCCTCTTCTCCTTCGGCCTTGAGGATTCCAAGCGAGAGCTTGCCTTGTGACGCAGTCGAGTGCCATCCTCAATATGTGTCCCATCCACTTCCAGCGCTTCTTCCTGATTTCCTCCGCCGAGATCTGGTTTGTTCTCTCCCATAGTAGGTTGTTGCTAATAGTGTTTGGCCAACGTATCCGAAGTATTTTTCGTAGACAGCTGTTAATAAACAATTGTATCTTCTAGATGATAGCTTTTGTAGTTTTCCAAGTTTTCGCCCTATACAGTAGAACTGTCTTGACATTTGTATTGAAAATTCTGACCTTAGTGTTGGTTGACAGTTGCTTCGAGTCCCATATGTTCTTCAGTTGTAAATATGCTGCTCTTGCTTTACCGATCCGCACCTTCACATCTACATCAGATTCACCGTGTTCATCAATGATGCTGCCCAGATATGCAGAGGGAGGCTGAAGCCCCTCTGGGGCTACTACCGGTCCCAAGCCCGGATAACGGAAGAGGGTTGGGCATGGGATTAGCGACCCCATACCGTAGAAGACTAACTCGTTAAAAAAACGCTATCCAGAAAAAAGCTGAGTTACATATACTTAAACTCTATCATAGCAACTACGACTTGGATAGTTCGGGTTTTTCTAAGTTTTACACCATAGCTTTGCTTTGACATTTAGTACACAAAATTGTAGTTGTTTGGATAGCTTTTTTGCATATATTCAAAAAAAGCAATGTACCTTGAAAAGTATCATCTGAATGTAATCAACATTTTGGATATACATTAGTTACCGGTTCCCTTAAAGAGGAAAAATACTTTGAAAGTGTTGTTGGGATCAGTCAACACTAATACCTTGTTTTGATTGGCCATAGAAAATGCGCATACCAACCCAGTCGATGATCATTCACCCCCTCATCGATCGACAATGTTTCGATTGTGGCGATCTAATCAAGTTTGAGAAAGTTTTCTTCATAGACGGAATCTAATCGATAAACAACACGAAAAGCCGGAGAAGTTAAATAGCTATTCTAGTTTAGGACAATTTATGCAATCAACCAACCAACTTAAGTGCCAGAATCCATTATGTTTAATAAAGATAAGCTTGTGAAATTGTAATGGGGATTGATAACGAGTTGATTTTAACTGTGTATCACCGATGAGATTGGATTGTTATTATTACACTTTAACACAAATGTTCTGTAGTGGGAAATGTATAAACGATTCAATAATGATATAAACGAGTGGATCTTGATACAATAATCAAAACAGATTTCCACTGATGACACGTGAATAAATATCAAAAATGATTGTTATTTCATAAAATCATATATATCAGTGTGCCCTAGAATATAAAGTGCAAAAGCTCAGCCATTGATTACGAAAAATATCAATTTTTGTACACACTTTTAAGCACAATACAATGAGTCATCTCATTTTTTCAACTCTGTCTTTGCACGGAGTATTGCCTCCAAATGCCCTGGTACGGCCGAGAGTGCGGAGAGTCCGCTCTCCCTCTCGAAATGCTCTCACATGACCACGCGTATATAGCCTCTGCCAGGAAAGTCCTACTCACCGCCTTCTCGTGGCACTACTGTTGTTTACGAAATTGAGAGGACAAAAAGCGAATGTTCGGCACTTTAACCGGGTTGGTGGACATGGAAAGTTCACCTAGGGTAGTTGCGAAACCTTGATTCCAGATCAATGGTCACATGGGCTCCAGTATCCTGAAGGAACAAATGGCGTATGAACCGATTATTGGTCACCGGCTACCATGGAACTGCATCTCCTGACGTTGTTCCACTGCCTTGTGGATCAGATTTTCAGGCCGAAGGTTCCGGGTGTGGCCCCTTAAGAAAACCACCTGCTTCGGTTTAAGCACCCGGACTGTATCACAACCCTCACACAAATCAAATGAGATTTGTGTGGCGCATATGTATTTGGTGCCTCCTTGTACCAATATCTATGTTTTAAAATAAAATAACAAAAAATGCTTATTATTCTTGTGACTTAAAGCAATATTGAGGCCATCCGCACAGGATGCACACATACCAATAATAGACTGATCAATCGCAATCTTAAACATCAATAGGGAGTTCCAAATAACCAATACAAAAATGAATTAATGTTAACTATCTCATTAAATATTATTATCATAAATCAATGTAATTGTGCAAATTCGAATCTCATTGATTATTTCAATTAACTTCCTTAAGATTGCAAATTTATACTGGTTGTTAACGAGTTCATATACTGATAAAAACTGGTTGCTTTGCTGCTGAATGCTTACATTACTATAACGAAAGTCTTTATTCATACTGGTTAGTTAAAACACTAAGAGAGTAGTCATCAATTAGTAACCTAATTAAAGGTGTATCACTGTTTAAAGTAAATTGTCATATAATTAAGTTGCAGTTTAACAGTTAATGTCAACATCATAATGTAGATAAATCTAATTGACGAGTCTTAAACAGATTGTAATGCCTTCCGTATATATATATATAATGATATGTTCAGCCAAACGACATTTTTTCAAAGCTCCATTCTTGGGTGCAACATTTATTGAATACTTCGTGATTTTCAGTGATTGTTTAACTGATATCTTTACTTACTAGCATCAGTGCAACTCCTTATGTATGTAGAGCATTTTCTTTTTCATGTTCGGAGTATAACAGAAGCTTCCCTGAAGCTAGTCGTTGTTGTCCAACCTGCGTCCAATGTGTTTCACTGATTTCAAACACCTCGAAGTTGTATCTCCTCATTTCGGCAGCAATTTCGATGACTCTCTGTGTCTCCCACATTGTACGAGCATTTCATGTATCTAAATTAATGATTGCTCTGGTTGTCACAAGAGGCATCAGTTTCTTGACTTCCGATGGAACTCGGCTTTCACCATGAGGCGTTATAACTCTTCTAAATTAAGACCTTCTAACTCTCAGGGTTGAATTTAGATGGTTTGAATTATTTTTTCTAGTTAACGTTTATTTTAACAAGTTAGTTTTCTACAAGATGGAATCGCTAACCCTATTACCCAACTCTCTACCTTTATCCAGGCTTGAGACCTACAGTAGCCCCAGAAGAGCTCCAGGAGGAGTTTACCTGATATCCAATATTTCCTATTATATTTCAATGGTTTTTTTTTGTTTTCAAGTTTAAATTTCATTTACCTGATGTTTTCTTCATTCTTCTTTATTGATAGTCTGGTAAAAAGATTTTGGCAAATATTCATTATTTTACTGCTACTAATAAAATGTTCTCAGTTGATAAATATTCAGAAAATTTAACAGAAATCTGTAAAAAACGAAATATCAATTGTAATTTATCATATAATTTAGTTGAAGTAAGTAATTCATTATTGTTTTAATAATACGATATCAGTTGTAATATTTTAAGTTATATATACAAACAGATACTTATTGTTTATGAAATGGTATATTGTGGTGTGAGCTACTTATATTCATATAAGTAGTATATAACGTGCGTTAAATAAACGTAAAGTCCGGCAGCAGAAGATGGCGAAGATCAAGAAAGGAAGAGCAAGAGCACAATGGAATTGTAAGAAAACACATGTACAATGGAATGGGAGACAATGGATTAGTGTTTGCAACGGGAACAGTGCAGTTTGATATGATCGAATGATATTTTGCAAATTGACGATTGACTTTATGGTATTAACATTTTACTGAGATAGTCTGTAATTTCTGTGCTAAATACAGTCGATCGTCCCCACCCGTGTTCTTGTTCACTACAATATGACTGACTTAACTGTATTTGTTTTCTTTGCCTCTGTATATCCTAACAAGATACTTTATAGCCAGTTATCTATTGATTTTAGATAATGCATTCTTTGTGTGTACTTTTCAAGGATGAATCTCTTATCTTGAAACTTAATTGTTGATTCGATGTATCAAGATAGCATACTTTTATTCCATAAAGACACTGAAAAGCATTCACAGTTATCAAAATGCTGTGAATAATGACGCAAGAAAACTTGGGATGCATTTGTCTCCATCATTGAATGTCAAAGGTTGCTTCTAGGACTGGTCCTTACCAAGTTTATTTTATTCATACGGACTGAAGTATTGGAGAGTGTCGACCACTTCGTTTATCCTTGATTCTTTTTATAGATCCTGATAGATAGGTGAATCACGAAAGTTCGGTAAGAATAGAAAACCTGTGGATGGATCTACCTGTAGGGTAAATGATTGGAAGTACGCTGAGGGGCAGTTCATACTGTCTTGCCCAAATACGTGTTACATGGCTTATAAAACTGTAAAACATACATAAACTATACCTTGCTCATTCATATTGGAACTATCAAGTTAGTAATGTTGGGGTTAGGTATAGAGTTCTAGGTAAAAAGGAGCAAGTTGATTGATCAGTGAATCTGTACAACTAAAACTGGTCACTTTAAAGTCTCGAACCATTAATTACTATTATCATGCAGTTGTTATTCGAGAATTATGTACTGTTTCGAGCTGCTCAAGTCAATGGTAAGTAACTTCATAGACTGATATCGTCTTAGGTTTTTTTACGCTCTGAACCTTCTCCTTAATATTTTACATTAAAGTATCCATTGACTATGTATGCCTGATACACTTGTCCTTTAACTTCCTCATTCTATCAAAACTTATAACCTTATTAATCACTTTTTATCAGTTCTATTATACTTGACTTCAGCATTACTTACTCAGTGATGTTTATATAATTTATGAACGATTGATTCATTGCATCGTGTAGACTTGTTGGTAAATTTCATTAAAGTATAAGTTGAGAACCTGACCATTGTTTGGCGTAGTTGAACTATTTAACAGGTAATCACTCAAATGTATACTTATATAGTGTTTTAATTAATCCACTTTGGACAGTCAATGAATATTGCGTTAACCGTTACACTTGATTTGTACAACTAAAAATCAAGTACATAAAAATATGTGCATTCGGTTACTGAGTTCATGAAAATCATATTTTTGATTTTTGATGTCGGTGTACCAACTTAAAGATGGCCAAATCAACACGTGGCATCAGTGCTTGAAGTCCCCAACTTCTGGTCTAATTCATGTTAGTAGATGCAGATTACTTAGCTGGGGTTCACGCGACTATCGTAACAAATGGTTGATGACTCTTGGTGAAATGGCTCAGAATCGATCACAATGGCGTATGTGTATACACTCTCTGTCTTCCCTTAAACTATGCGATTAAAACTGTTTTATATCTTTCTTTCTACGAACTAAGCCTTTGTTTCTGTACTATGCCCTTATACACAATCTTTCTTTTATATATTACTACCATTGAATTAACTACTTCTATGAATTTGTTCATCTTGTTGTGCAAATGATGTGTAGAAACTTGGACCGATGCATATATGCGCCTAGTCCTACGTTGTAGCTGACTGACTGACTGAAGTTGATTATTTTAAATAACTGTCAGCTATCATTTTCAATAATGACGTCTGACATTAGTATTTAATGAATTATTATTTCCATGTAGTCTGATCAATTTCACAAATTCATTTACTGTTGAGTCGCCCTTCCGAGAACTTCAACGAAGCCTCCAGAGGCCCTAAAAGAGCCGAAAAATCAGAGCATGATGGGGCTTTCTAGAATATCAACGTGGCGTGCTACTATTGGTCAGTAGCACAATATGTCTTTTAGAGGATTGGCCAAAATTTGATGTTGATTTAACAGATGTTAACATCTATAAATACCCGTGTTTTTCCGTACAAAAAGGAACCTTTGGAGTAGTGTTTTTCGCTTATTTTCGCGTTTTCTCTCAAGTTCAGGTCGCCACGTAGTTCTAGCTTGCAGGTTACCAGAATAGCTTAGGAACCGAATAAAGCATTCGAATTCGCAAGACTTAACATTTGATCTTCCCGAATTTTATTATCTATGGCTATTTTGTTTTTCCATCTAATACTGTTACTACTGTGGAATTTATATGAATCATTTCATCTCAGTCAGTCAGTCTTGAGTGCTGTTAGAGGTATGAGGGCGGTTTTCACTTCCCGGTTGCCCACACCGTGGAAGGGTTGTTCTGGGGATACCTGAAAAGGAATTTGGATTAAAGGTGGTCTTAGTGACCTGAGAGCGTGACCGCAGTGCCCAAGGGACAACTGCTTGAGGTCGGTCACACATGACCTTGTTATGGGTAATTTTTGTGTTAGCTCCGTACTTATTGAGACCTTACCGCCGGAGACGGATATCCGTGGGATAAGGCGAGGTGTGCATTTTTAGGGTCGACCTTTTCTAACCCCACCCCTCCTTGTGGGAAGGCAGCATCGCTGTCATGCTGGTTGTCTGAAGGAAACACCTTACTGCTGTCACACCTCTGTACAGTCAGCAGTACGACTTCGCCTTCGGACCTTGGGTTTGTTGCTTTTAGTCTTACCGCTCTTCAACCAACCTGTCTGACATGGTAGGACCTTGAGGAACGGTTGTTCCAGCCAGTATAGCTCGGTTGCTTCATCACGATAGGCAAGCCCGACCACCACGTCAAGGTAGCAACAACGGTCGGGAATCATTTCATCTGGCTTTAGTGATATAGTGTTGTAGCAAGTGGGACTGATGCATAAGTGTTCAAGATTCTACGTTGTTTATTATTAAATTACTAGTTTGTTTCATCATTATTACTGCTGATAAAGTCATTTTAATTATTATCAGTGTTTCTGAGCTCATATTGATTAATACATTTCTTAAAGATATCAATATACCATGTAAGATTCCTAGCTTAATAGGATGTGTTGATGAATGTTTTATGGTAATCTACAATCGTTTTTATTGTAATTCGCTTGTGAAATGGTATTGTAGATAATGAGAGCAAGAAGCTTCATTGAATATTGTCAGTGATAACAACATCACCAAAAATCTTTTGAACTTGCTTGATGACTCACATAAAATAAACACATATGAAAACTTTTTACTACAGTAAACGTCATATATGAACAATTTAGTCTCATTGGGATATACTGACTATCGGGAAACTTTGGACGAGATAACAATCAAATCGTTATCCCATTTTGTATGACTGATGCTCTTATGCATTGTGTGAACGGTAGACCTTAATTAGTCATTGATTTCTTCGTCATTCTAAGCTTTTCTTTCAGAAGATGATTTATTTCCTAAATCACAACTTAGAGTTAATCGATCTTATATCGTTTGTCGCATTTTGAGATATATCTTGATGGTATTTATAGACCAGAAAGTGGATAAGCTTCTGTTTACTTTCTTCCAAATATCGTATGAGTAAAACTAACATATTCGAGTTTTTTTATGTGAAAAAAGTATTACACAATACTATTTGATTATGATGGAATTTTGTTCTCTGAGCTGAATGGGTTTGTCGTGGTGCTTTCATCGTTCTTCTGAACGACATCATTAGCACAAACTCCAGGTAGAAGTGAAATGTTCAAATATCTCCACATGTGATTCACAGCTTGTCCTGTACACCTCGGTGTTGATTGGCTCTTGTCGACTTTAAATCTGTCATTGTTTATTTCTTTAAAACAATTAGTCCCTTTGATAAATTTCGATAATGCAATGAGGAGACGTAGTTTATGAGAATTATGTGATATATTTGCGCAATACATTTCGAACAATCTGATCACACATATACTTGTTAAGAACATTTATATATGAAAAATTAAAAGGTCAACTAGACAGGTTAAGGATAAGTCATAACAAAGGAAAAATATTAAAGTACACAAAAACAAATGTGATTACCACTCTGGATAGTAAATCAGTACTACCAGGGTAGGTTAAGTTTAAGTGTAACAGTTACCTCAGCAATATTGTTATATACATAGATACCATCGAGTTAAGTATAAAATAGGAAATTTCTGTATCAACTATGTCTATATGAGTTCTTATTTCTCTGGGTTTTTTTCAGGTAGATTCACAAGCTAGTGAAGCAGTATTTCAACACATGGAAACTAAAGAACTTAAACGAATCAAAGTATGTTGTTAAGTAGAGTTTGGGTGTGTATTACATTTCTTTTTCAACTAAATTATTCAACAATATCTTGACCAGTTATAATTCTTATACTAAATATAAACGATGATGTGGAATCAATTAGTAACTAAATGTTCGTACAGTACTTTGCCTTCCATTAGTTGTCTATAGGTTTAAATTTCATTTTTGTAATGAGCACATTTTATTTACTACTTTACATGTAAAAAGTGTGCTCTAAAACCGAGTAAATGAACCTGTGCTTGATAACTAATCTGAAATATATAGAACAGAAAAGTGACAATGATTAAGATATTAATGAATGAGTGCTTTAACTCCACTCTAACTCACTGAGATTATGAGATAAGCTGTTTATACTCTGATTTCCACTGCCTAGTATACCTTAGTGACAAGACATATCACTTGGATAGACTACTTCATTTGATGAGTCCGAAATCAAAAGAAGGATTTATAACAAGCTAAAATACATTTCAAATAATGAATAGTAAAAGTTGTCGTAGTAAAAATGTTAATAGATATGTAAAATCTACCTTAAAAATTATCCTACCGTCTGTTCACTGTCTGTCTTCTAGCGCTGATTTATCGAAATGAAAATCAGTTAGACTGTTCCTGCGTGTTGCTGTTTCGAATATGCATTGTTCGAAGCCTTACCATGCTAATAGTTTATAAACAGTGACTAAGACCATGTCTTGTAGATCTCAATCAGTAAACCTGGAACTACCAATACTTGTCAGACAAAACATAAATCGACTGTATTATCACCTTTCATCACTACTTACCTGATCTTAACGTTATCAATGCTCTGTTGAGAATCATGATTGAATCCAAGGAATTGGCTCATATCTTCATAATTTTTAAGGCTATATCTCTCGGCGATAAATACATAGCTATGTACTCTTTGGTTGACAGATTTCCACTCATTAATTTAGCCAGTTTTGTGGTGTATGCTACTTATGTCGACAGATATAAGTAGTACATGTAACATCCGTGAAAAGTGGAATGTCTGACAGCAAAAGGTTGAGAAGTTCCAATTGAAGAGAACAGGATTGTAGACAGAGAATAATTACAATAGCAATGAAGGAAAAATGGAATTTACGATAATTGATGAGAGATTTGCAAATGAGGTATTTAATGTATGGTTCCTTGCATTTTACGAGAGAACTCTATGATTCTGGATTGATTAATAAACTGACTGCCCCCATCTGAGTTCTCGTTCACTACAGTTTAACGTTCACTAAATCGATTACCGTCAGTTTTACACCCTTAACAATAATTTCACATGTGTTTATTACTTAAATACATACACATGTGACTTTTAATTATCTGGTAACCGTCTTGGACAAGATACTTTTTTCAAACAAAACAACATTGACGACAAAATAAAAAAATAGTACAAAATAATAACACGTTTTAATTTCCATAATAAACAACCTTAAACTATACACGTACAACAATCCCAGTACTAAAGCGTTTTAGGAATTTTAAGGTCACGGTACCAATTTCAGTACCGGGTGCTCACGTACGATCGGTTCACAGCAGAATTTAGAAAAGACCTTATAATTGAGTGCCTACAACAAATAGGACTAATAAAAAGGTCCTTTATTTATGATTGTGGTAATCAAATGACTTGTGGGCTTTGTTCAAACTAACGTTTTGATGTTGTCTTTCTACGATTCCTCTGTATTTCTCACATTTGCTCAGATCTCCTTTCTTTGGTATCTTGATGAGGTACCTTCTTTCCAGTCCATCTACTGTTGTTCTTCTCCCAAGATCTGCCTGAATAGAATGTGAAGCGTGTTTGTAGTTACTTCTATGTCTGGCTTCAAAGCTTCCGCTGCTTTTTCGCTCCTGATTTGCTTGGTAGTCATCCTGATTTCTACTTCCGTGAAGTGACATCTATTGAAAGGTCTATGTGCGTTGTTTCGATGTTCGTTGGATTCACTGGAGCTGGTCCATTCAAGAGTTCCTCCAAGTATTCTACCCATTTGGTCCTCTGTTCTTGAGTCTCAGTTTTTTTGACCGGTCTCTCTGGTTTATTATATCTCCCTGACAGTTTCTTCGTCGTGTCATATGGTTGTTTCACATTTCCTTCTCTTATAGTTTTTTCCACTGTCCTCGTTAGCTCTTCCACGTTTTTCTGCTTGTCAGTTCTAACGCTCCTCTTCTACCTTGACTTTCTCTGCACTTGTTCGGCTGTTGTTAGTTGCTGTCTTCTTGGTCGTCTTTTCTTGAAGTGTGTGCTGGGTTTCCATTCCTTATGATGATGCTTGTTACTGCACAGAACCTCGTGACACGTTGAAGTTAGCGCTTCTTTCATTATTTCCGGTTGTCCTTTATAGTGGTTTCTCCATTCAGTGGATCCTGTAAGGCTTGGAACCGGTTATTGAGAGTCTTCTCGAATTCGTTGTGTCTGTCAGTATCTCGAAAAAAGGATGTATTCAACCTTTTTAATGCTGTTTGTCCAGTTGTCCAATGCTTCTTTAACTTCAGTTTCATCTTGGCCACAACCAGGTGGTTATCGTTAGTTATGTCAGCTCCTCTCCTGGTTCTCACATCTTTCATTGACCTTGTGAATTTTTTCCTGATTCAAATAAAATTTATCTGGTTCTCCGTCGTTTGGTCCGGTGAGATCCATGTAGCTTTGTGAATGCGTTTGTGTGGGAATATTGTACCTCCTATAACCAACTTAATGAATGCACGTAGATTTGCAAATACACCGTTTAGAGGAGTTGGAAAATCCTCATTCCAAACCAGTGGTGCACATGAGCTCCAGGAACTTGAGGGAACAAGTGGCGTATAAACCAATTATTGTTCACTGGCTATCGTGGAACTGCATCTCCTGACATTGTTCTGCTCCCTCGTGGATTGGACCCTTAGGTCTAAGAATGCGGGTGTGGCCTCTTAAGAAAACCATCTGCTTTGATCTGGGCATCCGAACAGCACCCCAACCCACACACAAATCAAGTGACTAGTGTGGCACATATGTATTCAGTGCCCCTTTGTGCCAATATTTATGTTTTGAAATAAATAAATAATTCCAAAGTCACATTTATTAGCGTTAAAATTCAATCATTTACGTTTAGTTTTTATCGTGAATTATTTACTCCATGTCAATTAACTAGGTCACAATTTGTTTACATCTAAACCATGTCACACATCGTTTCCGATCATTGGTTAGAAAAATGACATGGAGCCTAATCATGTAGTCTACGTCTACCAGGATTGCTCAGTTCAACAGTCTTTGTCTGCATGGAGTAATTCTATGCCGGCATAGACAAGTAGGTAGTCTCAAAATACACCAGCGATGCTTCGAAGACATCTTCGATCGAATACTAGTAACTTGCGAATATACTCTACTTATTAAGGACACTTTTCACAGTTGTAAAGTAAAATCGCAAGGACTTTAGCTTAGAGAACTAGTCTTTCGAATCTCAAGTGAATATCTCTCTTACTCTGAAAATAATCAATGCTACAAACTCTAACCGGACTTTCCGAATATGTGTCAACATTTCGTCAGGCACCAACCCACTGGGACTGATGAAACCCCTGAAGTCAGTAAAGCGGTCAACGCACTCAACTACATTACTCGTTGTCGTTAATTCCAGCAGTGTCGCAGGCCAGTCCCGAAGCAAGATTGCGTTCATCGTTGCTTCAGGAGGTCAAAAAACTTTAATTTGTCTCCGTCTTCACCAATCGTGACCGTTTCATCTGCGTATTATTAGTCAGCAAGTGAATTTTCTGTTAGGATATCCATCCCTGGAAAGTCAGACAGTATTTTTAAAATAATATATATGGCAAATATAAATAAAAATGAGTAAAGCGGACAACCATGACGAACAGCACTTGAGGTAACAACTTTCGTACTAGCTCTCTCCAATCTCTGACTCCATCAGTAGTGTCCAAGTAGAGAGCTCATTCAAAGAAATGTACTATTTTATATATCATGATAACTGAATTCAGCAATATTTGTTGGAACATCTGTTCCTCAAGATTCCACTGTAATAGGCAGGTCAATCGGAAAGCTGTAATATTAAAAACAGTAAACTAAAGATCTGACAGTGAGATCTTACCGCCAGCTGTAATGATGTGTTATGGCGTTAAAGTGCTTTCCTCAAACAATCAACATTTTGGTGACACTGCTTTCCAGCAATAGAAAAAAAGGGTTAGTAAAGGTTGAGCCTAATAGTAACGTACACCGTCTTCTCTTTCCGACAATGGGATCGCAAAACTACGGGGCTATCGTAACAAAACAACCTAAAGAGCCTCCATTTGTGACTGCTCTCAAACAGTTATCACTTGAGCTCTAAAATTACATGCCCAAATCATGGAAAATCACCAGTAACCCATCCTTAGTTTTTACAAGTTAAGTGCCCTAAAAGCAAACATTCGTACTTTATTGTAAATAAATTTCAGTCAAATTCATTTAGCAATAATTCATCGGTATGGCGAATCCAGTCTAATTAACAGATTTTTTCACTAGGACATTTAGCCATGTCAGTTATCTGCTTACTGAAATCATTCCTCTTAATAGATGTATTATTGAGTAATTAAGTTACAAATTAACATTTGATGATGTTAATCGACTACAACTGATCAGTACCTTTTAGTGTATGCTCTTCTCGATTAAATTGCCTCGATGTTGTTACTGAATGATAATTAAATAATAATTAAAGTTAGATGGTGGTTGGAAGAGGAAAACAGAGATAGGCATTTCGTCCTATTCATGACTGGTCGGGTGGGTGTAGTTGCATCCCAGTTTCATTGTACACATTCACACTTAAACTCAGTACTTTTCCCTTCAAACGCGATCGCGTTATCCACTGAGTCCCTCTGTAACCATCTATACTGGTACATTTAGTTGTATTCCAAATAATGTGAAGATTTTGATTGAGATCATGAATCAATTGATGTTAGACCACCGTTGAAAACCTGGAAGCACTGGACGGCCGTTTCGTCCTAGTATGGGACTCCTCGGCAGTGCGCATCCACGATTCCGCTCCCCGCGAGATTCGAACCCAGAACCTATCGGTCTTGCGCCAGGCGCTTAACCAACTAGACCACTGAGCCGGCATCCAATTCTTATCCTATATTCCAATGTTAGCCATTATTCCAACTTTACCGTGTAATAAATATTTTTAGTTTTGATAAATGAGAATTTTACTTCTCACTCGCTGATCAATTATTGTCTTTGGATATTCCAGCAACTCATTTAGTTATATAAGATGTTCGAAAAGAATGTAACATGATCCAAATCTTATAAATTGTTGACTCATGTGTTGTCGTATGTAGTATATTCTTTTGATCATATGATGGTACACTTGGTCACTGCAAACTTAAAACTCATTCTGATCAAACAGAGTTACTACAAGCTTATTATTTACACATATCAAATACTACTACTAATAATAATACTTCATTTTGACTTTTTTAAATTACCAACATTCCACAAGTTCTTTCTATCGTTGAGGAAGCGTTATCATCAAGAAATATCCCAATATCATTTCGTTTTGTTGTTATTGTTTTGTCTATTTTGCAGTATGACTTTTTACATATCACTCCACCAATGTGTTGTCCGGAAATTTTAACTAAAACACCAAAATTAACTAATCCAAAAGCATCTGATTATGTAGATGTCAATGTGAAAACATTACGACATAATCATTATGATAATATATTTGCCCTTGGCGATTGTGCTGCATTGCCCACATCGAAAACTGCTGCAGCTGTAGGTAAGTTAATAAACATATTAATATTATTATGTTGAATGCCAACAATCAAAATCACATGACAAATCACTGGTCGAAACCCCGATTCTAATTTGGTCTATTTCGCGTTGACTAATTACTCTATGACTTAATGTTGCTGAATGGACCAATTTTACATCCAAACAGCATTATTAACTTCAAGTCAACAGCTAAATTCTTATTGGTCCACCTGTCTCCAGCTTCACTCACTCTCTCTGTGACTCGCCTTTAATTTCAGAAATCAGCAACCAGCTTTTGTTATATTTCAAGCGAATGTAGTTTATATACAAGCAGACCAGACCTCATCACACTGTGAAATGAAAAACAACAATCATGCATAATCAACCCAAAAAGTGTTTGTAACTAAGGGAGACTAAATAACAAACTGATCCGTCAACTTAATCTAAACTTCATAATGCTGTAAATTATTCTAATATTAATATGGAGCTCTGTGAAGCATTGAATTAAGAAAGTACTAAACACGTTATGATTCAAACATAACATCACTGTAAATTCATCTCCTGTTAAAATGATTCATATCATGATAGATATAAGCTTCATGATTGTGGAATATTCAACATAGTCGTTTGTAAATGATCAGATAACTCACATTTTCATTTTCTCATTCAATGTTTTCTACATAATCCGACAGGGCTGTCCACTCTCTCCATTGCTGTTTAAGTTTTTCGTTGATATTCCTCATCTAAATTCCCAGAGGTTGAACTTTTTCGGGGAGATTCATTTGTTGACGATGATGTTGCCGAAGACGTAGTTCTATTTGGTGAAGACGCTGACGAAATTCAAAGTCTTCTGACCACTATAAGCAACAATCATGCATGTTCGGGACGCGATTTTCCCCCGAGAAATGCAAAATGTTGCTTCAGGATTGGGTTGCATCGATACGTGAACTAATGATAAGGAGTGAAGTACTTGAGCATGTAGATCTTGCAAGTCTCATTAGCCCTTGTGGTCTGGTGTGTGACGAAATCTCAGCACGGATACAGAAGGCTCGATTAGCTTTTGCCATTTTGCGTCATTTATGGCGTAGCCCAGATATCCGTCTACCAAAGTAAGCATGCGTTTACTGCTCAGCAGTTCGTTCCGTCCTACTTTATGGCATCGAAACATGGCCGGTAAGAGTACAGAATATTCGTAGGTTACTAGTATTTGATGACAGGTGTCTTCGAAGCATTACTCGTGTATCCTGTGAACACCGAGTACGTAATTAAGTTAGGAAACGGGTACTAGGTAAGGATGGCAAATCAGTTGATAAGGTATTGAAACTATATCAGTTGAGATGGCTGGGACACGTGTTACGTATACCAAACCACCGACTGCCCTGACGTGCTATGTTTTATGGAATAAAGCTAGGGGTGGCCAGAATAAAACATGGTAGAAATTCATGAAGTTGCTGATAAGTGAACTGAACCTTGTTCGTAGATGTAGACCACCTGGTAGGGATCCACAAGACGATAGCAACCGATGGTTATGGCAACTCTAACTGATGAACATATGTACGAAGTTCTACATTATTGCTGACTGACTGACATAATCCTAAGTTTGTTATTATTCTATACATTTCATTGATTGATCTCATATACCTAATTTATAATCATATTTCTTAGGTTAAACTATTCACTACCTCTTCATTTTATTCATTTCTCTCAATTCAATTAATGTTAAGATATGGCAAATCAAAACCTATACACATTAAAACTCAGATCCTACTATGATCATGATTTACTGATTTTTGATAATACTAGTCAGTTGATGCATAAGTTTAAAGTTTATAATAAATTGTTTTTAATAGATGGCAGTTTATGTTTAGCTTAATTACTATACAAGAATATAATTTTGTATTGAGATTGTTGTGTTATCAGAAACATTCTCAATCACAATTGATTGATCAATGGATGATGATCAATGTCATGTGTGTCATGTCCTTCTTGGTGCAGATCGAATGCTATCGACCAAGTTGCAATGTGGTCACATTGCGTGCACTATGTTGAGATTAGATGGTGGTTGGAGGGTTTCCTGCTGACTACCTCCCACCACCATCTACTTTCAACATTTCCAATGTTTGTTTAATGTCTTCACATAGAGTATATTTGGATATTTTCGTAAACAATTTTATACGTGATTGTTACGTAATAATGTGTAATGTTCATTAAGAATTTCGTTTCATGGTCTAAGGTTTACTTAGCCTTGTGTTTTTCACCCGATAAATAAGATAGCAACAACATTAAATATGTTTTTTTTTACATACGTTCTTGAATAACTCTATGTATTTTAAAGGGAAGTATTTAATGAATATTACATTCTAGTATACAGAACTTACTAACTAAATGTCCTGGTAAGGTCGAAAGTGGAGAGACTCAGCTCTCCCTCTCCAAATGCTCTCACATGACCACGTACATACAACCACTGTGAGGGAATTTCAACTCACTGCCTTCTCGTGGCGGGGGTATTTACGAAATTGACAGAAAGAAAATTGAATTTCCGGTGCTTTAACCAGGTTAGTGGAAATGAAGGTTCCACATAAGGAAGTGGCGCATATATATTTGGTGCCCTCTTGTACCAATATTTATGTGTTCAAATAAAATAAATAAAAACATAAGTTGGAAAACACTCATTGCAAACCATTGGTGCACATGAGCTTCAGAACCTGAGGGAACAAATGACGTATGAACCAATTATTAGTCACCGGCTATCATAGAACAGCATCTCCTAACGTTGTTCCGCTCCCTTGTGGATTAGACCTTTAGGTCTAAGAATACGGATGTGGCCCCTCAAGGAAACCACTTGCTTCGGTTTGGGAACTTGAGCAGAATCATAGCCCATACACAAATCAAGTGACTTGTGTGGCATATATGTATTCGGTGCCCCTTTGTACCAATATTCATGAGTTGAAACAACCATGTTTAGTTATCCGAATTGATCATAGCTCGATAGATGCATTCGCTCAATCTATTTTTCCTCTTTAAATCTTATTCTCGTGTATTCCTCTACATACATCTTTCCATTTCATCTTCTCACGTCATATTCTGTAGTTTATATCTTTCTTGTCATCATTTAACGTAGAATTATAGCGATCTTTTTGCAAATCATCGTTTTAATTTGGTTTTATTATTACTGATTTAGTTATGACAAGTTAGTCTAATGTATATTTGTCCGTATATTTGTACGTTGATTATATTTGATTAATTATTCATTTAGAAATCATCATTATTCGTATTATCAGACTGGGGTTTTGTGGATGTTGTAGAGATTTTAATAGTTGAATTCATGAGTTGATCTAGGCTAGACGACCACTGAATACCTAAAAGCACTGAACGTCCATTTCGTCCTAGTATGGGACTTCTGAGTTCGAGACCCGCGTGTGAGGTCTTAGATGCACACTACTGAGCAGTCATATACTGGGACGGAACAGCTATCCAGTTCTTCGAGGTTTCTACTAATGGTCTAGCTTAAATCAACTCATGAATTGAACTATTAAAATTATTCATATTATCTATTTAATTTTACTAGGCAACTATGAGCTTTATCAACATGTTTCATGCTTTGTATTATTTTAACAACAACAACAGCAGCAACTTATACTTTATAATCATTAAATGAACAGTATTAGTAAATCAATGAATTATTTCAGTTTGCTTCACTATAGACAAGTTTGTTTCTTTTTTCATGAAGCGTTTTGTTATTGAAAAATAAAATCAGTATCAGATTTATTGATTGTATAACGTGTATAGTCTACGTTACCTAATGAAGGTATGTAGAAAGATTAGAATATTCATTACTTAAATCCATATATATATGCTTAATTTACCAATCATATTATTGCTATTTTGACCACTTTATTAATGAATTTACGTTATTGTCAAAAAAGATAATTACTTGATGACACTCCGTTGAAAGCAGAATAATCGAAGGTGTTATTTTGATGGGATTGTTGTGTGTGCTTCGGGTAGATTTTACTAAATTCACTCATGGTATTTGAAGTAGTTTGGTGTTTTCATTATTTCAAATTGTTGGATAAGAGAAAGTAAACTTTCATTTTATGATTGAACAATGTTATTATCTTATTTAGACTATCGTTGAAAATTTAGGGGCACTGAACATCCGTTTCAACCCTAATGGGACTCTTCAACAGAGCGTGTGTACGAACCAAAAACCTTGATTCGAACTCAAGACCACTGGTCTCACGTGCGACAGTATTGATGTCTAACATTAATCAATACACGATGTTACGTAACGACCTTCTATCATTTGTGGTGAGTAACTGTCTCACACAAGAAATGTTTAAACTGCTCTGGTCGTCGCTTCTCTCTAAAGCTCTAGAAGTTTCATCTAGAAGTTAAGCAGTTGTGAACGCACGATTATTTTCAGTGTAAAGTTTCTATTGGGGATTCCGCTTTAGTCAGTGATCTAAGCGCTACGTGTTTGTGTGCGTGCCAGGATGTCTTGGGATCGATTCCCGGCTGCGTAGTCATATATATGTGTTTAAACATACTTGGTTATCATTCTCATTCTATTAGCTTGTGACTTACAATCTCTCGATCACTATCCTTAGTGTAAATCAATACACTACTGTAAGATAATTTGAGCTATTGTGTTCGTTCTGGAAAACGTCATCGACGCTTACTTTTACATGCAAACTGTCTAGTTCGGAAAGCAAAATCTTCTACAATTTCAAAAATTTAAGGGTAATTGTTTTTTATTTCATAATGTTTGTTCGGATCATTTTGAGCTAATAGCATTATCCACTTTGTTACCACTTAACTCTCATAGAAAATAAATCTTAACCACTTCTGATATAGTTCTCTGTAACCTTCTTCTTTTTGAACAAGAGTCGTATGTCAAGTACATCATTCATTCACTCCAAAAAGTAGACAATTTGATATACTTAGATTTACCAACTAATTGTGGTTAGTGTCTTTTATTGGGTTTTTTTCTCTTATCTCTGTTACTAACTGTTAATCCAACTTCTTTATCAATCATAGAGCCTAATGATACAATCATAGAATTCAGATCAAAGTAGAGGTGTTAAGAGAGTAGATTCGAATCGGTTACTGAAAAGTTTAAAACTCAAATCTTTTCTACAAATAACCTGCTTTTTTTCATACATCTGATTTATTACAATGTAATGTATCTTTGTTCATTTTAAGTGCCTAAGTACATGAAAACGTATCAATTATATCAATTACCATCTACTATGAATACGCTGAGACTATAATAGAATAACCTTTAAAGCTACTTTTGTGAGGTGATCCGCACAGGATGCACATATGCCAACATGAGACTGATCAATCGCAGTCCGAAATAACAATGGGAAGATACAAGTAAAACAACACCAAGTGAAGTTAAACTTCACCCCATTGCATAACCAGGTGGCTACCAGGACTCTGTAGCTAAGTGGATAACGCGATAGCGTTTGTATACGGACGGTACTGGGTTCAAATATAAGAGTGAACAGCAACTTTGGGATGCAGGTACGTTCAGCTGACGAGTCCAAAAACAGGACGAAACGCGCATCCTGGATTCCACTGCGAGCCACTATCCATCTGTGCTTAAAAAGTGCCTTATAACTACATCGAGGCAATCCGCACAGGATGCACATATGCCAATGTGAGACTAATCAGTTACAGTCCTAAACGGCAATGGGAAGATACAAGTAAAACAACATCATGTGAATTTTTACTTTTGTGAAATCTTAAACATTTTAGTAACCGACACCAATCATTTATTCAATAATCAATATTTATATTAAAGGTCTCGTTTTTTGGAGTACACAGCTTGAATGTGTCATAACCTGTATATACCGTCTACGTTTTGGTCACAATTTATTCATTACTTGTATTGATTGATTTATCTTTTTTATATATATTTATGTATGTGTGTTATTTTCTATTTATATGCAACTTACAACCCGACACATGCTCATCGATTCAAGTTGTCACAGCGAAACAAAATTATGCAAGTAAATTCTAGAGTATTAGAAGTAGTAATGGTATCAGTAGTAGCCGAGACCATTCGAAATAGAAGAACGAAAAGAAGGTAATTAGGAAATTTCGGAACTCAGGACCTTGGGGGAATTAAAGACTGAATGTCCCTGCGCTAGTATAAAGGATTTTGATCCATGTCACCCAAAGTTTCTAACCATTGGTTACGATAGTTTCACTAACCGTAACTGGCTTACTACACCCACTTGCATGAGTCAGAATAACAGTTAATGACATCATGGAGTAATACCATGGTTTTGCCGCCCGCACAACAAACCACTGTGCGATCCTCGGTAGACGGAGATTGGGGATATGAAACACTTGTTCTAACCACATCAGTTGATAAAGAGTTATTTCACAAAACATTTTGTTATCTTCACACAATACTCCATGCCTGGCGTCAGTATAACTCACTTATTGGTGCTGAAATATACGACCGTTCGTTCAAAGTCTTAGATAGCATCTAGAAGCTGGACCTGATCACATCTGACTGGTCTCGATCTCTGATCGTCTCAGTTTACAAGAATGGACAAAAATCCTATGTTGATAATGACAAAGGAATTCTTTCAAATAATATAATCCCTAAAATATTAGCCTCAATAATATTTCGACGTCTAATTGGGGCTTGTGACGAGCAAACTATAGAAAACCAAGCTGGTTTTAGACGTGAATGTTTAGACCAAATATTCACCCTTCGGTATGTCCCGGAACGGAGACATACTTTTCGACATCCGACAATATTTGTATTCCTCGACTTTAAGGTGGCGTTTGACACCTTTGATCATGAAGTTCTGTGGTAGTTTCTGTCATTGAAAGGCGTACCAAAGAAGTACATTCACGTTGTACAGACTCTACTCGTAAATTAGAGGCCAAGTAACAGCTTATGGTGAATTTTCATTAGAATTAATCACTTCTAGTGGTGTCCGTCAAACTTGTCCACTTTCCAAATTTTTATTTAACTCTGTCATAGATATGCTTTCAGAGATAACACTCATGATCTTAATTTTCAGGTTATGATCTACCAAGAGATTCACTTGTTGAATTCGAACACACAGATGATATAGTTATGTTTGGTTTAGACGGTGACGAAATGCATGGCTTTTTACCACGTTAGGCACGAGTGCAAGCATGTATGGGATACGATCCTCTCACTTCAAACACAAAATGATGCTCCATTATTGACCTGCGTCAGTGCCTATGGAATTCGCCTTAATAATTTCGTCTCTCTGAGCGAATGGCGTATGACAACTTTCAATAATGTTCATACATATGAGGTTAAATTTTGCTACCGACTGACTGTTTGAAGACACCTTTGTTCAAATACGAATATCCGTTATTCATCTATATGTGTATAAATTTGATTGAACAATTAGTGTAAATTACTAGTATACGGGTTGTGGAGATTATTAAGTTTTTGATTGAGATAATAAACCGATTGATGTTAGACCATCTTTGGAAACCAGGAAGCACTGAACGGCCGTTTCGTCCTATTGCGGGACTCCTCAGCAGTGCGCATCCACCGTCCCGCTCGTGAGACCGAAGGCCTTGGGTTCGAATCCCGCGGCGGGACCGTGGATGCGCACTGCTGAGGGGTCTCGCAATAGGACGAAACGGCCGTTTAGTGCTTTCTGGTTCCCAAAGATGGTCTAACATCAATCGGTTCATGATCTCAATAAAAAAATTAGCGTAAAACCTGATGACAGTCTAGGCACAGACAATGTTGTTCACTAATGTCATATTCGATTTGGTATTCACTCAGTTCTACCCTACTGAAAGACAACTGTTATCATATTAATCATGCATTACACATAAATTGAGTAAATTCATTCTTTTATGATGCATTATTTATAGCTGGTCAGGTGGGAACATTAGAAAAGAATATCTGTGATATTATTAATGGTGGTCAAGGAAATGTTTCTGAAGTGAGTGTTGATACTTCTTTTTGTGGTTTTCAATGTCTGATATTTGTTTGAGTCACTTTACTTACGTAGTTACTTACGCCTGTTACTCCCAGTGAAGCATAGGCCACTGACTAGCATTGTCTAACTCACTCCGTACTGGGCCTTCATTCCTTGTTCGATCCAATTGTTGTTCATTCTTCTCATATCTGTCTCCGTTTCTCGGCGTAATGTGCTATTTGGTCTTCCTTTCCTCCCTCGACCTTGAGGATTCCAAGTGAGAGCTTGCCTTGTGACGCAGTCGAATGCCTTCCTCAATATGTGTCCCATCTACTTTCAGCGCTTTTTCCTGATTTCCTCTTCCGCTAAGATCTGGTTTGTTCTCTCCCATAATAGGTTGTTGCTGATAATGTCTGGCCAACGGATCCGAAGCATTTTTCGTAGACAACTGTTAATAAACACTTGTATCTTCTGGATGATGGCTTTCGTAGTTCTCCAGGTTTCTGCCCCATACAGTAGAACTATCTTGACATTTGTACTGAGAATTCTAACTCTAGTGTTGTTTGACAGTTGGTTTGAGTTTTTAGTTTTAAATATGCTGCTCTTGTTTTGCCTATCCGCGCCGTCACATCTACATCAGATCCACCGTGTTCATCAATAATGTGTCACTTTATCTAATGTTAATATGTTCATCATGAGATTTAAAGGTGTTTGGTCTAATGCTTAATGGGTATATAGTTTTATTTAGGCACAAATCAAGTATCCACTACTACTGGTTCTTGGTTTTTATTTGTTTCTTAGTAGATATTCACTAGTAATGAATATCAATCAACCTCATTCTTTATAAATTCTCTAATGTAGTTAATAAGATAGAATAATGGACGAAATTTACAGTGATATTCGAGTCAAAGTATTTGAATTATTTTCAATGTACATTTGTAAAAATATGTAATTTATAAATATCCACTGTATAATGCCAATTGAATCCAAAGATGCAAATATTTCAACCATTTGAAATGATAGACTGGGAAATTTTAGGGATATGATCTCTGTTTTTCTGAGAACAATTCAGAATCGTAAATCTTCCAATCTCATAAATGTAGTCTAGTGAACCGTTAAGTAGTGTTGATTATGACTAATTGTTGTTACTGATGGTGTCCAAAATCTGATATTGATATATGGTGTGTTACGCTCTAATCCTCCAACTAACTACTTGAGCGAGAACACAAGAGTGACCGAGAAAGTATATTAGACTACTGAATAAAATGAACAAATACTCATTCATACATATACTACTCTATCCTTATAAAATTGACCCCAATAAAATGCACTTGACCTTTGTGTCACTTTTGATTGCCATCGATTGACTTTCTCATTAGGCTATTTCTGATTGGCTCTCCATATCATTAATTCAAATTGACTTATTTCGTGAAACCCCAATGATTTCTCTTGAGATGTTAATGAATATTTGTTGTTGAAGATGAGTGTTTTGAAGGTGTTTTGTTCTGTGATTTTTCTATTCTAACTGTCACAGCTGCTTATCTTTTCATGACGAGACCTCACACTGTGTTATCTTGAATTGATGAACTCATTGTTATATCTGATGTTTTCGACTTCTATTTAATCGTCTTGTCAGCTGGAACCAACTTTTAATTCATTTAACCTCATCTTAGTGTTTACTAGAATGCGTAAATGATAATCCACCCTTTTATCCTTTCAATGTACGTGCTTTTGCACATACATTTAGTGCAGTTGAATATAGTCTGACATGAGTTATTCAATATAGAATTAACATATGTTTTTCACTCATAAGTCAGTTGAATCTTGCAAATTATTGTCCACACAAACACAAATCAAGTATTCTGTTCATACATCAATAGTATTCACTATATTCATTTCATAATAGTCAACGCCTATATCGTTTAGCAATGATTATTGATGCATTGATAAGTTGTCGAGAACGAAATCAGACTATGTGCCAACTGCCCGGCTGGGGTGTGCACAATTATTATGACCAACGATTAAACAACTTAACGGACATGGCCTTAGAATCGGTCTCAATGGTGTAGATTCATTCTCTATTTACCTTTGTATTCAGCGAGTTCCTTCTCCAATAATATTGGATGTCTTTATTGTTTTCTACTACTATTAATACTGTTGTCACTTAGACTGCTATGATGTTTGACGTGATGATTTTTTTCTTGTTGTGTTAATAAGGTGATATGTATTGGAAACGTGAACTAATGCACATTCTACATTACTTTCGACTGACTGACTGACTAACGTTCATATTATCCTCCTTTTATTTATTCTACTTTTCAGTACGACGGATATACAGCTTGTCCTATAGTTACAGGTTATAATCGTGGTATTATAGCGGAATTTGATTATAGAGCTAAACCATTAGAAACATTGCCTATTGATCAAGGGAAAGAACGTTATTTATTCTATTTTACAAAAACATACCTTCTACCACCACTTTATTGGGATGGACTTTTAAGGTGAGTTTACATTGGTATTTATTTAACTGTAATTTACACCTCTCTTCTATTTTAGTAATATTTATGTCTTATAACTTAATATTATGTAACATACTAAACATAAGACGAGGTTGAGTGCTGTTAGAGATATATTAATGGATATTAGGTTTCATGTCTTCCACAAAGTGAGAAGATATTTCATCTTCAAAGATCTATAAATGAAAATCCGAGAATGAATGGTATAGTTCTTATCGATTCAACAACAAAACCCGCGAATTCAGAGGCACATGACCTAACATTATTTTAAAATGTTTTACTCTGTGTGATTCTTCCTTGAAGTTACTAACTTCTAATCTTAGCCATGTTGGTAGGTACAGACTATCTAGTTGGGATCCGCGCGACTATCGTAACCAATGGTTGGTGACTCTGGTTGACATGAATTAGAATCGACCACAATGGCGTAGGTGTATACACTCTTTGTCTTCCCTTAAACTATGAGATTGAAATTATTTCACATCTTTCCTTCTACGAACTAATTCTTTCTTTCTGTACTACAACCTTACATAAAATCTTTCCTTTATATATTACACCATTGAGTTAACTGCTTCAATGAATCCGGTGTTCGCCTTGCTGAAAAATGAGGTGTGCCAACTGGGACCGATGCATGCATATGCCTGGTCCTACGTTTTAACTGACTGACTGATACCGGCAATATTTAGGGCGAAGTAAGGTGTGTTATTACGAAAGATGAAATTTCTCTAATCCCAAACAGATTTGCTGGAGATGTTTGTTAACTTTTAAAAATAATCTATCGCTATCACACTGCAGTGCATTCGGTACTATTACTGTTTCTAGGAACAAGTGTTACAACTACTGTTACTGGATAAAGTCTTTATGATGCGTGACCCTGACCGTCAAGTTTAGGTAGTAACTTATAATCTAGCTATACTGATACAGTTTGCAGATTGAATCTGTGAACTCATTCAGTTGGGTAATATTTAATTATATTTATTTAAAAGGTCTAATCGGAAACTATATGAGAACTAATTTATCTCCTACTAGATTATAGCAGGATGTTTTATACTTTTACCAATACTCATATATCAACACCTATCAATAGTCTGATGATTACACCTATCTGACGAACTCCATATTAGAGTAAATATTCCCTCCCAAAATATTATTTGATGTCTCCCTCTACATATATTATATATTATAATCAAATCATTTCTACTACGAGTTCATTTTTCAACCAATCCTAACTATACATGCACTACCAATTTTTAATACTGACTATGATCACAGTGCATAAATTATCTTAACTAAGTGCATTCTATATATGTGTGTACTTCTCTATTGTAATAGAAAGCTATGATATTTTAACAATCCTGTATCTAAATTCATTTTAATTGTATGCTGATTGTTATCGCAATATACATGTCGCTAACCCTCGTATATTTTCATCGACTTAATTCACGTTTAGTGAATAACGGAATAAAAATAAGTTAATTACGAGAATGAAATTCGATTGCATGCATGATATGGACCCACTGACCTGGACAAACAATCAGGGAAACGAAATGACGCTCAGCGGAGAAGGCGAGTGAGCCAACTCGTTTTGATCAAGTGTATGTCGATATTTATAGTCAGGCAAAAATCAGTTACAGATCATGTAAAAACAGTTAGGGTTAATAAGCAAATAAGTGATAAGCTTAAAATGGAGTCCAACTGGGTCTGTTGTGAGATAGTAACTCACTGATGACAATGGTGGGTACGTCGCTCCATTTCGTAGATTAGTTGAAGTTAGACTTTTAACACCGTTGGACGCCGACCGGCTCAGTGCGCGAAACTGATAGGTCCTGGGTTCGGATCTCAAGAGGCGGGATCGTGGATGTGCACTGTTGAGGAGTCCCGCAGTAGGAAGAAGCAAACTCCCAGTGCTTCCAGGTTTTCCATGGTGGTCTAGCTTCAATTGACTCGTGATCCTAACCATTAAAAAACCTTATCTTCAATTTATTCTTTTGAAATCAACATATCATTCGTGTTCTGTTTCTTTTCTTTCTCTCTCTTTTTCTAGAGGAATATGGTCTGGTCCAAAAACTATCCGAAATCTGCTACACTTACATCGACCTTCATATTCAGATGCAAAAGAATGATCGTTTAAATACCTTGAAGAAAAATAATTTTCTGACATTTCCCATGTATTCTTTCTCTTATCATGAGCGTGTGTGTGTGTGTGTGTGCGTGTGGATGTGTATGTATGTGCCTATTATTATGTAATTGATTATTTCCTAAACATTTACACATTGTGTTCTAGTTCCATTGACTTTTTCTCTCTAGTTTCATGTTTGCGTAACAAAATAATAACACATTTTCATTTTGTTCATTGATTTGATTGTTATAGGTAAGTGTGCATTTTCCTCGTCAACGAATATCATAATAACGTCCATTCCCAGATGTCAATGCCTATCCCTTTATACCTTTTAATGGTCGTCTACTGAATTACGTAATCATATTCAACTAAATGAATATTATATATGTTATGCACATTGTAATGGTTTCTACACTGATAATGTTGATATACTTAGTTAAGTTTGATGAATGTTTATTGTGTGAACATCATTAGTTAGAGCTGGAGGTATGCATCCGGTTGATGAGATTCCTTGTAGGATGCATATACCCGTCTTGGATTTAACTGTTATTTACTATCTAGTAGTACAATGTTACAAATAATAATTGAAGAATTTTACCATTACCAATATTATCATAAATTTTATTTGAATATCGATTTGAGCAATAGTTTATCAGCTTACTAATGACTCTACTTCTAACCTGTTATGTTCAAGGTAAAATTCTTCTCTAGGTAGCTGTTATGACCTTGGATGTCTGGTTTTTCTATCACACGATTTATCTACCAATCCGAATACGACTTATACGGATCTTTACACTAGGCCAACCAATGACGTTCAAGCGGTGTGGGCAGTTTAGCGTCCTTATTGGTCCTATGTCCTACGAGCCCTTCCACTTCAGTCCAGAACAAGATACCAGCATCCGAATCAGAGCAGACCGTTTATTCCAGGCATACTTGGTTTATATATCAATCACACAGACCGCAACGTACCATGAAATAGGAAATAATATTTGTACACAAATAGGCCCAAAAAGTGGCTGTGAATGTGGGAGGCAGTAGTTAATAAACTGAACATAACTTAAGAACCGTAAATCGTACAATAATAAATTATAGGTCAAAATAAAGCTTATCATAAAAGGAATATAAATATACATAGTGTAATTGTTGAGTAGTTATACAATAAGAATAATTATAGAATATTAGTCCATGAATAGTCCTCGGAAGTTACCTGTAATTTAATCTCCACTCGGATATAACAGTAGCCACGTCGTACAATCACCAACTGTTACATAAAAAATGTTTGCCAGTAAATCTCATTTTTCTATAGTTTACGTTACAAACTAACTTCAGTTAGACAACCATTCAATAACAGAAGGGATTGAATAGTTATGGAACATTTTAATAACGCTACTCCACCTTTATATTAATGATAATCATTTAAAGTGTTAATTCCTCTAGTTCTAATGAGAGGTCATGATCAGTGTCGTTCAACCATGTCGGTTGTGGGTCAGGTTTTTACCAGTGGCTGTTAGTCCGTCAAACTAAACGTAGAACCTGACACATGTGTCATTTGATTCAAGTTGCCATACCCCATCAGTATAGCAAGACGAAACTTTCAGGGAAAATCCCTGAGTATTTGGTTTAATAACAGTATTAGTGATAATAAAAACAGGTTACACGCCAAAGGTACGATTCTAGAAAAAAATATATAAACTAGCGAAATTTAAAAAACCTTTATGAGGGAATTTATAAACTTGGAATCTAAGGGGAAGACAAATAGTGAATACAGCTATGCCACATCAAACGATTGTTAGCTATGTCACCTAAAGTTCCTGAGTGCTTGTTTCACGCGGACCTAAACCAAGTAGTATGGACCTACCTACAGACTCAGTCCAATGATGAATGTCTTCAAGAACAGGTGCCATATCTTAGTTTGGCACCCACTTTTTTTCTCCCATCATACTACAGTGAACACGATCACGCGTCAAGATAGTTTGTGGGTGAGCTTACGTAAAGCGTGTCCTATTAGTCTAAATCGATAGATGCTCACTACCTAAACCTATTTGTCATACCTGATACTCAGAGTTGCTAGCTCAATGGTCCCAAGGTATAAAAAAGTGGTTCGAAGACGCATGACCAAATATTAGTGAACTACGAGTATCCTGTACTTTTAGCGACGACGTGTAACAGCCACAAAGTAAAATGGAGCAGAATGTTAAGGAATTAACTCATCATTTGTTTGGCAGACGGACATCTTGCCCAAGTCACATGTGATGCAAGTGCTTAGAAGTCAACCAAGCTTGCTGAATTCGTACAGAGATTCCGTCAAACACTGACCCAACAGGACCGGTGAAACTTCCAAGGAAAGGAAAGTGATCGATGTATTCAAGTACTTCACTCCTGGTCATTGAAATGACAATTGGTTAAAGTTAGAAATCTAAACCACTGGACTCAAACTCAGATATGAATGCCAAGCAGTCACCTTGGAACTTAGAGATTCTGGTTTTAGTCTATGGTAAGATGATGAACTCACTTATTCAAAGAGTCCCATTCTAAAACGATATAGCTATTCGATGCTTTCTAGTTTTCAATGTTTATCTGATTCATATCAGTTTGTAATATAAATCATAAAAATTTAACGATTCATTACATTGAGTCGCATTATTATTCTAATTAATGGCAGATTTCTTATCTTATATCATTATACTGTGTATAGTAACTACAAGTTGAACGTGTAAACTATGACAATATAAACATGCGTGTTTATTCAGTTATCACTGAAATCAGATGACAATTTTATGAATTTCTATAAATGTAATGTGGCGCTGTTTGTTTGTTCGTTTATTCATTATTAGAAACATAGTATCTAGCGTAAATGGTTATCGATTCAAGGCATTACATAAAGGAAACAATAATATAAATTAAAGAATTCCTTACAGTGGACGAATAAAATGATGAAAGCTCCACGACCAAACCATCCAGCTCAGAGAACAAAACTCCATCAAAATCATCTACCAGAACTACAAATGAGTAAATGTGAAATAGGAAATAGTATTGTGTTTTTTAATGGTTGGAGATAAGAGACAAGAAAGCGATTTTACTAAACGGAATACACTCATTAAGACATTAAATAAAAAAGATTAGTTCAGCAAAAAGTCCTCTTTTTGTCGAATTCATTTTCAAAGAATCAGAAATTCTCCTCTCTAAGATGTGGCTCTTTAAAACGAACATTCTTCCCAGTAACATTGCGAGTGGTATTCTCCAGCCAATCATTGTTCATTAATAATCACATCTGACCAAATCAATGTGCACTTACCAATTTACTTTCTCATGTAGAGTTAGGTATATAGGTCGTTTGATGCGTACTTTATCCAAAAGAATTCAAGAACATTACCAGGTGTGGCTAAAAAGAAGAAGCAATGGCTCAATAAGAAGTTCAATAATCGAACTCCTTGTGTAAACAGTTCACGCAATCAAGACAGACTCCGTTCAAAGTCATCTACAAGGTAAGTAGAAGTCTTCCAAAGACAATTAGATTGCATCTTCTTTGCATTGCCGAAGCAATAGCCATACACCTGGAAAAACCAGAATTGTGTGTGCAAAAGAGATTGGTACAACCTCTTCTTCTACCATGGTCTTAATGTCTCATAACTTTTTTTCGTTCTTCATACTCTTCTTCCTTTACAGCCATCTTCGCCTTCTATCTTCTCCTTAGATATTCTATCCCCAACTGATTTATTTCTGTTTCTACGATCATCCTGAATAAATTTTATCTCAATTTCAACATTTTATCTTATCATACTGAGCTATCCCTTAACAATGATAATTTCCCTATCTATCTTTTGATGATGAGAAGCCGTGACCAGTTGAGCTAATCCGTGTCGGGTAGAGACAGGTATCTATCTCAGTACAATAGAAGATGGTCGTGCAGTTTCGTGGATTGGTTGAGGTTAGACATCAACACCGTTGGATGCCGGCTCAGTGGTCTAGAGGTTAAGGGTTCGCGCGCGGAACTAAAGGCCCTAGGTTCGAATCGCGCGAGCGACATCGTGGATGCGCACTGATGAAGAATCCCACGATGGCACGGTTGATTTTGATTTGGTTATCTGAAGTTTGTGTTGATGATGTCGTTCAGAAGAACGATGAAAGCTCAACGACCAAACCATCCAACTCAGAGAACGAAATTCCATTAAAATTATCCACTTGAGCTAAAAATCTTCTTCACCATCTCAGTAGAGAAATTAGATTTTCTGACGTTCCGTGATTTAGTGTAAACCACCGCTTCAGTGAATAAATAACCAAATTAAAATTAAGCCAAGTTTAAATAGTACAAAGGAACAAATTATGAATATTAGGTGTGATCAATCAAAAGTACGTTTGATCAAGTCAATGTTATATCATTCCAGTCAAGGTGATTTATAATCGATATGTATGTAAATTTGTGTGTGTATGTGTGCAAGGTTAGGGATAAAAAATGTGTGACCTTTATGGTGAGAAAGGATAAAGTTTAGTTTGTATGTAAGCGAATAGTATGTAATGTGAATAATATCAGACTAGGTAACTAGGATAGATAGTCCAAGTCAGATGTATAGTGAGGTCTTCTTTTCTATTGAGAGCAGTAGGATTAAGCTCACTTGGTATTATTTGGCTTGTATCTTCCTATTGAGATTTAAGACTGCAATTGATCAGTCTGTTATCGGCATATGTACATACTGTGTGTATGCCTCGGTATTGCCTTAATTCACAAGCTTTTTGTAAGCAATGGTGGATAGTGGCTAGCAGTGGAATCTAGGACGCGCGTTTCGTCTTATTAGGGACTCGTCAGCTGGATGTACCTGCATCTTAACTCTGAGATAACGCGATGGCGTTTGAAGCGAATGACACTGGGTTCGAGTCCCAGAGTGAACATCAACTCTGGCATGCAGGTACATCCTGATGACGAGTCCCAAATAGAACGAAACGCGCGTCCTTGATTCTACTGCTAGCCACTATCCACCATTGCTTACAAAAAGTAGGATTACGCGTTATATGGACAGCTTCAGCTAGTCTCCTTTCTTTGTAATTAGTGAGACCGTTTTGTAATGTTTTCATGTTTTTGAAATCGATTTGATGATTGTTGAAAATGGTGTGAACTGCTACTGCCGATTTAACTTGAAGTCTATCCATTGCAACGGGACTACTTTGTGTACCTAATATGTTCTTTGGCTTTAGTCGAAATTTCGCAAGATAACTTTGCAATGTAGAAGGCGCCATATTCGACACTTCCTAATTTGTAGACACAGTTCTGTGTTGACGTAAAGGGGAGTTTTCCTTTTAAGCGAACTAAAGTATTTCGAAGTGCGTCCATTGTTTTGTAATATACTTTAATTCTGTGTTGTTTTAAGATTCTTTGGAGTTCTTCTGTTGTATCATGATGGTATGGTAAAACTGCAATACCAATCCATTCGAGTCATTATTTAGCAATGAAACATTGTGTTTTAATATACTTCTAATAATTTTCATAGGAAAACTATTCAATTGTAAGATGTTGATTATATGCTTTTGTTCTCTTTCTTTATCCTCTTCCAATGTGACAATCCTGTTAGCTCTTCTAAAAAGATTTAGGGCTAACGAAATCTTTGCCTTGAATGGACATGCTGAATTAGAGTCAATATAACGATTTGAGTTTGTAGGCTTTCGGTAGATGGATAGATTTAGATTTCTTTTCACTAAGCAATCTGAAAATGGTAGCTCATCATGTTCACTTAGATTCTTGTTTGTTAATTAGATGTGATATGAAGGTGTACTGATCCGTTTTATCACTACATAGGTATCATATACATATCTAAGCTAAATTCGTGGTTTAATGTCATTGGCGAAAATATATCCGATTCTATGTGTTCTACCTGAAGTGATGGTTTACATTTTGTTTTCTTTTAATTATTTAATACTCAAATTAATGTGTTTTTATGTCACCCTCCTTGCAGGCTTTCCAGTAGTGAGTAAACATTTTTTGTGCGTTGTACGTTCCTTAAGTTACTTACTTACGCCTGTTACCCCTCGTGGAGGAGCATAGGCCACCCACCAGCAATCCTCATCCAACCCTGCCCTGGACAATCCTTTCCAGTTGTTATTCATCTTTTTCATATCTGCTTCTATTTCCCGATGCAATGTATTCTTTGACCTTCGTCTTTACTGCTTCCCTTCAAGATTCCAAAATAGAGCTTGTCTCGTAATGCAGTTTGGTGATTTTTGTAATGTATTTCCTATCCATTTCCATCGTCTTTTCCTAATATCCCCTTTAGCTGGAAGCTGGCTTGTCCTCTTCCACAGAAGGCTGTTGCTGATGGTATCCGGTCAATAGATGTTGAGTATCTTGGTTTCTCAAGCTACTGTTAATTTATTACGGACCTAGTACTCAGTTCCCTCCCACTTATGACCTAGTTCCTGAATTATGTTGATTTGTGGTCGGGATTTTACGTTATTTTAATGTGAGTTTTGAGTCATGATTAAAGCGAGTATATAATAGATGTCAACTCCTGACTTCTCTTTGAACTCTAGGCAAGGAATAGAGAAAAGCTTGAGTATAGCAGACCAACAGCAGATAAACTTGTAACGGCTCTAGGTTGATAGTGCAGTTTAGACGATGAATTTGGTCACTTCTAAGGCACGGGGCCATAAAAGTAGTTAACGAGGGATAGAAAAATCAGAACACATGGTATCAACAGCTACCTTCGTGTCTTTCAATCCGTGATGATCTCCCATTTGACAATAATATTTATATTAATTAATCACTGAGTAGTGGTGAATGTTATCTTGATCTAGTCTTTGGCGCTGATCATATTCGGTCGATCAATCTCAGTAAAAAGTATGAACAGATGTACTTTATTCCCGCTTGCTTTGAACTATTCTACCCAAACTGTTCAACCTTAAATTATAGTTACTGAATACATTTTAATCAATATCTTTTAACCTTTTACCACAAACATGGCCGGTGACGACTGATCCATCAAATAAGGTGGAAGTCCGCAAGGAACTCCAACTCTTGAAACGCTACAAATCACCTGGCCCAGATGAATTACCTCCGGCTCTTTTTAAAGATGGTGGTGATTTTCCGATTAAAGAACTGACGACGTTGTTTACAAAGGTCTGGGAACTAGAGAGTGTACCAAGGTTATGGAATGAGTCGATAGTTGTCCCTTTCTCTTAAAAGGGTTCACGTCGTTCCTGTAACAACTATCGGGGGATACGTCTACTTCCAATTGCGTCCAAGCTATTGGCTTCCGTCATACTTCGTAGGTTGTTCAAAACCCGAGAAAGTTTGACTCGCGAGTAGCAGGCTGGTTTTCGTTCCGGTCGAGGATGTATTGATCATATCTTCACCCTCCGCCAAATGTTAGAACACCGTCATACTGATCAAAGGCCAACAACCGTAGTGTTTCTTGACATCAGGGCTGCCTTCGATTCGTTGGACAGGACTGTTCTCTGGGAATGTCTATTGAAGAAGGGTGTGCCTGAGAAGTTTATTAACATCCTAAAGGCCCTATATACAAACACCTCAGGCAGAGTGAGGGCATACAACCACCTCTCTCCATCGTTCCATTCAAGTAGTGGAGTTGGACACGGTTGCTCAATATCACCATTCCTCTTGAGCTTTGCCATCGATGACATTCTGGAAACAGCTCTGATGGATGTAAGTAATGGCGGTGTGGATCTATTGCCTGGAGAAAGACTTCTCGACCTTGAGTATGCGGACGATATTGTCTTACTGTGCGATAATGCCCAAGCCATGCAATCCGCACTTAATCAGTTGGTAATCAGTGTCCGTAGGTATGGTATGTGCTTTGCATCTTCGAAGTGCAAAGTACTTCAGCAAGACTGGCAGGATTCTAATCCTATACTCACCCTGGATGGTGAGCAGATACAAGTAGTCGAGAAGTTCATGTATCTAGGTAGCTGCATAAGTGCTGGTGGTGGCGTGAGTGATGGGATCAATGCACGTATAGGGAAAGCCAGAGCGGCTCATGCCAATCTGGGCCACCTTTGGCGCCTTCATGATGTTAGTCTGGCTGTAAAAGGCCGGATCTACAACGCGTCGGTGAGAGCAGTTCTGCTCTATGTTTGTGAAACCTGGCCCCTCCGAGTAGAGCATGTTAGACGACTCTCTGTGTTTGATCATCGCTGTCTCCGAAGGATTGCTGACATCCAGTGGCAACACCATGTTAGTAATACAGAGGTTCGGCATCGTGTGTTCGGGCACAGAGACGATAATGCAATTGGTGTCACCATCTTGAAACACCGACTTCTGTGGCTTGGACGTGTTCCACGAATGTCGTCCCAGAGAATTCCTCGTCGTGCATTATTTGCCGACTCTGGGACTGGTTGGAAGAAGCGGAGAGGTGGTCAGTGCATGACATGGTGTCGGGGTATGAAAGAAAGCTGCAAAGGACTGGCTTCTGTCGGTCCTTCACGACTCCCTGGTTGGGGTCTGAGAGATGGTGCTACACAGTGGTTAGAGACGTTATCAGATATGGCTCAGAATAGAAGCCAGTGGCGATCCTGCTGTAACCTTCTTTTACTTTCTTCATAAAAGAATGGTTTTTTCTTCCTTAACTGAAAGATTTCTTCTGATTGTATCTTTCCGTTCCCCCATTAATACTACTATTACAACACTACCTTACACTAATCTGTTCGTTATTGTTCCATCTTTTTATTTTCCTTTCTCTTCGAATTCTCATTGTTTTGTGTGGTGCATATATATTTGGTGCCCTCTTGTACCAATATTTATGTGTTCAAATAAATAAATATAATGAATATCACAAAGATTGATGCCATGTATTGAGTCGTCGCACCGCTATATATACCAGCCAACATCAAACCGATTAATGAAGTAGATGGTTAACTATGTCAAACACTTGATACCATAAAAGTTCACGACCTTAACAGTTTACTGACTATAAACTATGCATTATTTAATCACTAACTGTATAGTATATTATATACTCTATCATTTATTATAGACAAAAATGGTTCGAAGTCTAATATTATTCGGTTGTTAAATGAACTATGAATAATACCACTATAATAGTTCCAAAGTTTATCAAGTAAATTGTATTCTAACTTTTAAACATCATGTAGTCATGTAATTCATATTTATGGATTAGTGGTCGAATTTGGGATTCGTCAGCTGGCTATACCCGTATCTCAGCGAACGGTATTGGGTTCGAGTCCCAAAGTAAACGTAAACACTAAGATGCAGGTACATCCAATCGACGAGTCCGAAATAGGAAGGAATGCGCGTCCCGGATTCTACTATTAGCAACTATCCATCTTCGCTTATAAGTCTTTAATTACTAAAAAAATATTATCCTCTAATAGTTCCTAGTTTTTAAATGTGTATTGGATATTAATATTGACAATTGATGGGAGCTGCTTTGTTTCTAAGTACAATACCACTGACTGGCACGATCACACATTTACTGGAGATAGATTAGTTCAACCTTATTATGAAGGGAACGTATGTATTTTCGAGTATTTGAAGTAAACATGTGTTATGAATCACTGTGATAGAAGTTGGGTGGGTTACCAGTAATTTTTATGGGCGAGGGTGGGGAGAGACAGCTCTCTTTCTCCAAATGCTCTCACATGGCTACCTGCATACAACCACTGCCAGGGAAGTCCTACTCACTGCCTTCTCGTGGTGGGGGTGTTGTTTAAGAAACTGAGAGGACGAAAAGCGAATGTCCGGCTATTAAACCGGGTAGGTGATTATGGAGGATCCACCTAGAGTAGTTGAAAAACCCTGATTCCAAAGCAATGGTGCACATGGGCTCCAGGATCTTGAGGGAACAAATGGTGTATGAACCAATTATTGGTCACGGGCTATCATGAAACTGTATCTCCTGACGTTCCACTGTTATATGGATTAGACCATTACGTCGAAGGCTTCGGGTTTGGTCCTCTAAGAAAACTAGCTGCTTCTGTATGAACACACGGGAAGCATCCCAACCTTCATACAAATCAAATGATTTATGTGGCGCATACCTATTTGGTGCCTTCTTGTACCAACATTTATGTGTTTAAATGAATGAATAAATAATAAAGCTTTATTTCGACCAATGAACTATTATTATATGATTTACCATTTTTGAGTTATGCCTGGTCTATGAATTACTATCTCCTATATTCACAGCCACTTTTGGCTAAATCTTGTACAACTGTTATTTTCTATTTTATGGTACGATGTGGTCTGTTTGGCTGGTATATAAACCCAGTATGTTTGAAATAAATGATTCATACTGCGGAGGCTGAGTTTGGTGTTCTGGACTTAACAGGCAGGGCTAGACTGGAAGCAGGACCGATAAGGAATCTAGACTGCTCGTACGGGTCTTATGCGTCATTGATCTTGTCGATAAATCACTGTTCTCTAATTGGCGGTATCAGTACGTTATGTATTAACAGACCA